CTGCTTCTTTATCCTTTGTGTATAGGAGGGCAACTGATTTTTTGGAGTTGATCTTGTATCCTGCCACATTACTAAAGGTGTTTATCAGCTGTACGAGTTCTTTGGTAGAGTTTTTGGGGTCGCTTATGTACACTGTCATATTGTCTGCAAATAATGAAAGTTTAACTTCCTCCTTTCCAATTCGAATCCCCTTGATCCCTTTATGTCGTCTTATTGCTATTGCTAGAACTTCAAGCACTATGTTGAAGAGGTATAGAGAGAGTGGACAGCCTTGTTGTGTTCCTGATTTTAGTGGAAAGGCTTTGAGTTTCTCTCCATTCAATTTGATGTTAGCTGTCGGCTTGCTGTATATTGCTTTTATTATATTTAGGTATGATCCTTGTATCCCCAGTATCTCTAACACCTTTATCATAAATGGGTGTTGAATTTTGTCAAATGCTTTTTCAGCATCCAATGAAATGATCATATGGATTTTTCGTTCAGTTTATTTATATGATGGATTACATTGATAGATTTGCATATGTTGAACCAGCCCTGCATCTCTGGGATGAAGCCTACTTGATCATAATGGATAATTTTTCTAATGTGTTCTTGGATTCGGTTTGCCAGTATTTTATTGAGAATTTTTGCGTCGATGTTCATGAGTGAGATTGGCCTGTAATTCTCTTTCTTGGTTGTGTCTTTGTGTGGTTTGGTATCAGAGTAACTGTAGTTTCATAAAAGGAGTTTGGCAATGACTCTTCTGTTTCTATATTGTGGAATACATTAAGGAGTATAGGTATTAGCTCTTCCTGGAAGTTCTGGTAGAATTCTGCATTGAAACCATCTGGTCCTGGGCTTTCTTTGGTAGGGAGATTTTTGATAACAGCTTCTAATTCTTCGCGACTAACAGGTCTATTTAGATTGTTCATCTGTTCTTGGTTCAACTTTGGTATATGGTACTTACCTGAAAAAATGTCCGTTTCTTTTACATTTTCCAACTTTGTGGCATATAAATGTTCGTAGTAAGATCTAATGATTCTCTGAATTTCCTCTGTGTCTGTGGTTATGTTCCCCTTTTCATTTCTGATCTTATTAATTTGCATGTTCTCTCTCTGCCATTTGATTAGTTTGGATAGGGGTTTGTCAATCTTGTTGATTTTCTCCAAGATCCAGCTTTTTGTTTCATTGATTCTTTGGATTGTTTTTTGTGTTTCTATTTTGTTGATTTCAGCCCTCAGTTTGATTATTTCCAGTCTTCTACTCCTCCTGGGTGAATCAGCTTCTTTTTTTTCCAGAGCTTTCAGGTGTGCTGTTAGGTGTCCAATATGTGCTTTCTCCGTTTTCTTTAATTGGACACTTAGTGCTATGAACTTTCCTCTTAGCACTGCTTTCATAGTGTCCCATAGGTTTGAATATGTTGTGTCTTTATTTTCATTAAATTCAAGGAAGACTTTAATTTCTTTCTTTATTTCTTCCTTGACCCAGGGGTGATTTAGTAGTTGATTGTTCAACTTCCATGAGTTTGTTGGCTTCCTGGGGGTAGCATTGTTGTTGAATTCTAACTTTAATCCATGGTGATCTGACGAGACACAGGTGGTTACTAATATTTTTTTGTATCTGTGGAAGTTTGCTTTGTTACCGAGTATGTGGTCAATTTTCGAGAAGGTTCCATGAGCTGCAGAGAAGAAGGTATATTCTTTCCTATTTGAGTGGAGTGTTCTATAGATGTCTGTTAAGTCCATTTGATTCAATACCTCCAATAATTCTCTTATTTCTCTGTTAGGTTTCTGTCTGATTGACGTATCCATTGGTGAGAGAGGTGTGTTTAAGTCTCCTACTATTAGTGTATGTGGTTTGATGACTGCCTTGAGTTCTAGAAGTGTTTCTTTTACATATGTGCGTGCCTTTGTATTAGGGGTATAGATATTCAGGATTGAGACTTCTTCCTGATGAATTATTCCTGTTATGAGTATGAAATGTCCATCTCCATCTCTTCTGATTGACTTTAGTTTGAAGTCGATTTTGTTAGATATTAGAATGGCCACACCCGCTTGTTTCTTAGGTCCATTTGCTTGGAAAACCTTTTCCCAACCCTTTACTCTGAGTAGGTGTCTGTCTTTGTGTTTGAGGTGTGTTTCTTTTAAACAGCAGAATGTTGGATCCTGTTTTCGTATCCAATCTCTAAGTCTGTGCCTTTTTATAGATGAATTGAGTTCATTGATATTAAGTGATATTAATGACCAGTGGTTGTTGACTCCGGTCATTTTTTTTTTGTGTAGTAGAGTGTATGTGTTTTCCTTCTTTGAGTTGTGCTTGTGAAGGGTTGCTAGATGTCTGAGTTATTGTAGGCAGTGTTGGGAATGTTGGATTTCTTGGGTTGTGATTTTCCTTTTAATATTCTCTGTAAGGCTGAATTTGTAGCTATGTATTGTTTAAATTTGTTTTTATCCTGGAATATTTTGTTTTCTCCATTGATAGTGAAGAATAGCTTGGCTGGGTATAGTAGTCTGGGCTTGCATCCATGGTCTCTTAGTTTCTGCAGTACCTCTATCCAGGATCTTTTGGCTTTCATGATTTCCATAGAGAAGTCTGGTGTAAGTCTGATAGGTTTACCTTTATAAGTTACTTGACCACTTTTCTTTGCAGCTCTTAATATCTTTTCTTTAATCTGAATGCTTTGTGTTTTGATTATTATATGGCGAGGGGATACTTATTTCTCATCCAGTCTATTCGGTGTTCTGTATGCATCTTGAACCTTCATAGGAATATCGTTCTTTAGGTTGGGAAAGTTTTCTTCTATAATTTTGTTGAACATATTTTCTGAACCTTTGATCTGCAATTCTTCTTCTTCTTCTACTCCTATTATTCTTAGATATGGTTTGTTTTTTTATTATGTCCCAGATTTCCTGAATGTACTGTGATGAGAATTTGTTGGATTTGCTGTTTTCTTTGGTCAGAGCATTTATTTTCTCTATGGTGTCTTCATAATCTGGGATTTGTTCTTCTATCTCTTGTATTCTATTGTTTATGCTTGTTCCTGAAGTCTCTGTTTGTTTACCTAGATTTTCCATATCCAGCCGGCCCTCGGTTTGTGTTTTCTTCATTGCCTCCATTTCAGTTTTCAATTCTTGAACTGATTCCATTACCTGTTTGATTGCTTTTTCTTGGTTTCCCAGGGTATCGTTTATGAATTTACTCAGTTCTTCAAACTTTTTGTTATATTTCTCTTCCATTTCTTTACTCATTTCTTCAATCTTTTTGTTATATTTGTCTTCTATTTCTTTGAGTTATTCATACCCTGTTTAAGAGACTCTATTGCTTTTATAATGACACTGTTTTCCACTTCTTCCGTAATAGGGTGTTCAAGTCCTTCTGTGGTAAGATCTCTGGGATCTGGTGTTTTCATGTTGTTTTTCAGATTGTTGGAGGAATTCTTGCCTTGGTGCCTGCCCATCTCTTCCTTCAGATGCTCTCCAATGACTCTTCCCTCTGCTGGGTTTTCTGCTACAGGATTAGTGCCCCTTGCTGGCCAGGAATCACTTTGCCTGCAGTCCTACCTTGCTGCAGGCAGGCTATTAAAACAAAGGAACTCCCTCCTGTTTGCACTCCCCGCCCCGTCCCGGCAGTGCCCACACAGGTTGAGTTGGAGGATTTTATGCCCTGATAAAGGGAGAGAGGAAGGGAAGGGGTTCCTGGCTGAAAGTGGGGATGAGGTAGGAGAAGAGAGGGTTTAGCTGGGGGAAGCCGCCCCTTTGGAATACCCAGGGAGATAAGGATGGCGGGAAAATTGTGTGTTCCCTTACCGGGCTTGTGTTGGCAGGTCAGGAGCACACTTAGCCCTCCATTGTATTTTCTGCTACCTTGCCTTTACTTTTGAGTTTGTTCTTATCCAAAAAGGAATAAACAAACATGTATGGAAACTGGACAATTCTATATGATTCTTAGGATACTAAGTCTGTGGAATTCTATAAGGTTACAAAATATAATTCTTTAGTTATTAGCTATTCTTGTAAGACAAAGATGAAGGAAGCGGTCATAATGATCCATAAATTAGTATAAAATGGAAACAAGATTTATAGGTAGTTTTTTTTTAAGAAGAAAAATTGTCTAGGTAAAAGAGAAATGGCCTAGAAGGCATGGAAGTTCATGCCGAGGAGACTGAGAAGAACTCACTTTAGATGCTTGTAGTGTAGTCTCACTCAAACCATATTACACTGTTGCATTCCTGCATTCATTATTGTATTCAGGGAGTGTTATTACCCACCCAGAGTCAGAAATGAAGCAGAAACCATGGAGAAACACATTGTGTACTCCTTGCTCCTCATGACGTGTTCGGCTTGCTTTCTTATACAAGCCAGTACCATCTGCCAAGAGGTAACACTGTTCATAGTGGGCTGGAACCTCCTACACCAACCACCAATTAATAAAATGCACAATAGACATGCCCACAGGCCAATCTCGTGGAGGCAGTCCAGCCATTTAGGTTCCCTCTTCCCAAATAACTCTAGTCTGTGTTGACAAAAACTAACAAGCAAGGCTCAGAAGTCTTCTAAATTATATACTATGCCATTCTACAGTGGTTTTGACAGTTGATATAGACTCAGGGTCGTGATTTGCTTCTCTGATTAGGAATCCCTTTCTTCTTCGTTTATTAACGTATTCATATTGTAATATTGCCTTTTGTGTTTCTGCTATAGTCATTACATAATAACCTCGTTTTGAAAATCTGATCAAGTTTAATCAAAACTGGATTTTAATTTTCTTTAGTGTATATTTTTTTTTCATGTTACTATCCCAATGGGACACAAAAGCAAAATAAGCCAATTCACAGCCTGAGAAGCCCAAGTGTAAAGTTATCATTTGCAAAGGTAGCCGGCGGGGGGGGGGGGGCTGAGTTCCATTCAAACTCTGCATGAGTTCACGATTGATCGACTTATTTACTTATCATTGATCATCTCTCTCTCTCTCTCTCTCTCTCTCTCTCTCTCTCTCTCTCTCTCTCTTTTAGAATCTGAGGAGGAATATTCACCCTTGATGGTAATAGCCTTTATGTTTTCACTTTGGATAATTTGCATCACACTAAATGAAATTATTCTTTAACTGTTCCTTCAAACATCTTTAAGGTTATCAATGAAATGAATGATTCTGTACTAAATAAAGCAGTAGAGATGAAGGAAGCATGGAGTATACAAGATGGTAAGTTTTGTGCTACAGTCAGTTAGTCTGGAAAGATAAACTCTAAATATTGGAAATCTCCACAGGCTTCTCACTCCTATCAAGATTAGGTAGGATGGCAGGATTTGTGCTAAATAACACAGTGCCATTGTTGACATAGGTTTTACAGAAGACATTTCCAAGTTGAAGGGTCTGGTTTGGAGAAGCAACTTGAGTTCGTTGTTTCTACTTTTATGTCTCAACACGGTCATGGGTTCCTTCAGTATCAGAAATTCTAGGCAAAAGACAAACTTAACAAAACCATCTTACACACAGCAGGCTGCTCATTTCATATCCCTTCATACCCTCTATCAAGTGATGAGTAACATCTAACTCTCCATAGAACGATGCTTGTAAATTTATTCACTTAACACAATTTGTTCCTTACTGGGTACTGCTAACTTTAGAACTCAAACTTGTCTGGAAACTTCCACTCATCTTGGGGCTGCTTTAATTTAGATTTGCAGTATTACTGTCTACTAAATCATTCTCATCTACTACTCAGGGCTCCCTCACATTGGTGTCTCTGACACATTTAAATTGCTCCATGCCCACATCAAATGAAAACACGAACTAGTTTAAAAAATATCAATGTACAAGCCTCTTATAATTATATATGTTTTCATAATATAACTTCCATCCATATCTCTACATAGAGCCATTTTTTTGGTCTGCTCACTTAGAGAAGGGACTGTGATGTTTATAGTGATGATGCTATTCCTGTCCCCACATTGCTACACCAGCACATACCCTCTTTGGTATTCCAGTATTTGCTGTTCCAGTATGCTGTGCTCTTGCTGTTTTTTGTTCCAGTAATCATTTTTTCCCAATAATAGTAATTATTGCTGTGTATGCAAAAATAATATACAAGAGCACCTATGTAGTCCAGGGGCAAAATGAATAGATACATAAAGAAATAATTTACAATAGTAATGATAAAGATACAAAGGAAAATAAACAAAAGCACCAAGAAAGTGCTGTAGGAAGCAAGAGTAATCACTCAGGCAAAGAGAATCAAAATGAAGAAAGAAGGCCTATGACATTGAGCGTTCACAGAAGAAAGTCAGCCTGTAGGAATAGTGACCGTAGCATTTCAGCTCTAAGTTACATTAACGCTACCTTAGAGTAGCTAAAAAACGATCTTGTCGATAACCAGTCAGTTTTACCAACATAAATCTCAAGTTCTGCAATTACACAGAATGAGTAGTCAACGAGGTAAATGGCCAATAGACTATGAAATGTGACTCAATGCAGAAAAGCATTCAGTTACTATAAATGATTTCATTTATTTGTTTTCAGTTTGGTTTCAAAAGTGTGTTTGTTGGTGTTTAATGGAGTGATTGTTACTGACCCGTTGAGATGCGTGTATGTTGTGGACATGACACACTTGATTATTAACTAATAATACACAGAAGCTTTTGATAGTTAAATAAGTCAGTAGTTTTCTTGTTGAAGAGTAAACTGATCTGAAGATTCTACTTAGAAAATTAAAAATCTAGTTGGAGTTGTTTTTAGCATTTAATTTTTTATATATGCAATAATTATTATCATGTTATCTAAATGTTTTCATGGTTTATTTTAATCATATGCATAGACTTGTCCGAAGGACCAGCTGTAAAATTGACATCAGAAGAAGAATCAGATAGTTATGACGGCTTTGAAAAGAATCCACCACTGGTATTTAAGTAATTAATTTTGAATTACAAACTGATGTTTCTCATTGTAAAATAATGTAAAATGGATCAGAGAAAGCTACTTTTCAAACTGCCCTCAGAATCAATAGATCATGACTTAATGTCTAATTTAACACCATTTGCTTGGTTATAGAATCCAGAATATTTTTAGAATCTAAAAGTAACAGGTAACCCCAATCCTTGGATATATATGAAAAAATTAATTTTCATGTTGTTTTCTCTTCTTATTGCCACTTACCTATTTAAAGAATAGATCAAATTTGAAACTTATAACTAGGCCATTATAGTTTGAATGATTTCAAAGGGATCAACCCCCAATTTGATGTATTAGAAAGGGTTATTATTCCAAGTAACTAAAAAAACCGAGGGTTCCAAAGAGTAATCAGTACTATCAATGTGTAAGTTTCACTGACTCATTTTGTTCCTATTGTGGGAGATAACACAGGCATGTACAATTAGTCCCACTCTCTGTAAAGAGAAGGTACCTTCCATTAGGGTCAGTGGTGCTGTGCTCCCAACAGTAACCTTCAAGCTCATTATACTTCAATAAAGGGAGGCAGAAACTACATTAAAATGTTACTCAGTGACTTTACTGAATACTAGAGTGCTTATCAGCTTTAGGAGTTTTGTTTGGTGACTTTCTATATAAAATTTTTTGACATATATTTTTAATCGAAATAGAATTATATCAGTTTCCATCTTCCTTTTCCCAGCTACCCTCAAACCCCTCCCAGGACTCCCTATTCTCAAATTGATAAGCTCTTTTTATTTATTGTTGTTACCTGTGCAAGTGTATACGTGTATACACAAATTTATATAAATAAAACATGCTAAGTCATTTTTGTTGTAAGACATTTTCAATACATATTTATTTTCAGTATATTTTTGTAATTTTAAATTAAAATTTAAAATTTGGAGACACATATAAGGTGTTTGAATCTGAGCCACATTCCATTTTTTTTCCCTTCCAATTTCTCCCCTTCCCTACCCCTTAAGGTAAATTTAATTGATTTTAAAAGAGAAAACTGAGATTTTGCTGGAAAGTGATTTAAAAATGTTGTAACTAATTACTGATGCTTATTTTAACAGAATATCATTAAGCAAATTCACACACAGGGTGTTGATTATTTATCACTGGCTAAAGATCAAAAAGAAGAAAAAATGGTGATGTGTCAGGAAAAAGGTAAGGAATCTGACAATAAAAAGTCCATTGATAGAATATTTGTTTGAAGCACAGGGAGTTACGTATACCCCAAGCCAGAAAAATTACCTTCTAAATATGTACTGAGTAACAGGATATTTTAAGTTTCAGTAGCACGCATGTCAAAGACAAGTTTTAAGACAGGCTAAATGAAGCGTATCAAAAAGGAGGAGGGTATGAGTTACCTTTTCGGTGTTTAATGACCAAGGGAGGTTAGGAAGCAAGTGGGGGTGGAGAAGAATGTGGATAGATTAAGAAAGGTAGAAAAGATAGAGAGGAAATGAAGGGAATGAAGAAAGGGAGTGTGCAGGGGAGTGCGGGAACTTCATATAAAAATCATGGGTAGGTGATTTCTCATGTTAAAATACTACAAAGCGAACTGCTAATGGGAATTGTGTGTAAGAGACTGAACAATGTGTTCCCATAGTCTTATTTGCTCACTTTGCGGAAGACATAAAGACATAAAGACACGCAACTAGAGGAGGAAAGGGTTTATTTGGGTTATATATCCATCAAGGGATGCTGCTGAGGTTGGTCCCTGGAGGCAGGAACTGTAGTAAAAGTCAGGAAAGAATGCTGATGATTGACTTGCTCCTCTAGGCTTACTCAGTTTGCTTTATTATAGATCCCTGGGGTGGTTCTACTCACAATGGGGCTGGAATGTTCCACATAAAGATTTGACAAATTAGAGCCTTCTTCAGTGTTCTATCGTATATATAATCAATATCTATTCTCAACTGTATATATTACTTAATATCAGTGGAAAAGTGTTCTTAAATCCCAGTATAATGCCAGATGAGTCTAAAATAGCATCATAGAAAGGAAAAACATGAGGCTTTAGTCATAGGTTGATTAAGGGTGCCATCAATAGGCCCAAAGAGCATTCAAAAGGTAGTGGCTGAGGATGCTGATTCAAATTGGGAGACATGGTGGGAAAATTGCACCAAATAGAAACTAGATTCGGTACAGTTAAATTATAGTAAAGGGATTTTTTTAAAAAAATTATTTGTTTATTAAAAATTTCTACCTCCTCCCCTCCTTTCATTTCCCTTTCACTTTCCCCCCTCCTCCTCCCTCTCCAGTCTTAAGAGAAGTCAGGGTGCCCTGCCCTGTGGGAAGTCCAAGGCCCTCCCCACTCCATCCAGGTCTGGGAAGGTGTGCATCCAAACAGACTAGGCTTCCAAAAAAACCAGTACATGCAATAGAAACCAGTGCCATTATCATTGGCTTCTCTCAGCCCTCATTATCAGCCACATTCAGAGATTCTGGTCTGATCACATGCTTGTTCAGTCCCAGTCCAGCTGGCCTTGGGGAGCTCAGGAAAGGGATTTTTGAAGAGACTCATTGACCAGAGTTTCTCAAAGTTTCATGATTCACCTGTTGAGGACAATGTTCAAAATAATTTTGGTTCAACTTTTCTGGAATTCTTCATTTCTTTTTTTCTTTTTGGTTTTTTGAGGCAAGATTTCTCAGTAGCTATGGAGCCAGTCCTGGAACTCGCTCTGTAGATCAGGTTGGCCTTGAACTCACAGAGATCCACCAGCCTCTGCATCCTGAGTGCTGGAATTAAAGGTATGTGCCACCACCTTCCAGCTTGAATTCTTCATTTCTAAGAAGGTGTCTAGTGGTACAGTTGGTGTTCTAAAGTTGGTGTTCATTGTCACATGAACAGCCAGTGTGTAGACTTCTCATTAAAGAAAATGAAAAAGATCCTTTGGTTGATAGTTCAAGACCATATCTAAGAAAACCTAAACATTATTATTATTTCTGAGAATATTTCTGGGGAGGGGGAGTGAACATAGAAACATCATTGAGAAAATGTAATTCAATGAGATTTTTTTTGATCACCAATCCTGTATCTATCACCATGTTTGATGATTTAATTTCTACAGTGTTTCAACACCAAATGATAAGGAAGGGAACTTGTAAGATCAGTTTACTAAAACAATGCAAAAAGAAAGTAATGCGCTGAGAAGGCTACCCAGTGGAACTGAAGATATGAAGTATCTTATTATACTTTCTAATGTGATAAACACGGTGACCACATGCCACTGGAGGAGGAAAGGGTTTATTCCTTTATTATATTGGGTTATATATCCATCAAGGGATGCTGCTGAGGTTGGTCCCTGGAGGCAGGAACTGTAGTAGAAGCCAGGAAAGAATGCTGATGATTGACTTGTCCTCCAGGCTTACTCAGTTTGCTTTATTATAGATCCCTGGGGTGGTTCTACTCACAATGGGGCTGGAATGTTCCACATCAATCATTGTCAAGAAACTGCCCACAGGCTTGTCTGCAGGCAAATCTAATGGGGATGTTTTATCGATGGGGTTTCCTCTTCTCAAAGGACTCTATCTTGTGTCTTGTTGATGAAAAACTAACCAACACAGGAAGAAAAAAAGTAACATGCACAAATTTAGAGTGAACGTTAAAGAACTGTAGAGAAGCCAGCTCAGAAATCTTTGCTATATGTTGATTCAAATGGAAATGAGAATTATTGCTGTTTGTATGAGTTATTGAAACCAAAGAGGGAGTGAGAGTCATGTGATGAACTACAACACTCAGTAATCTCTGTAAATGATATAGGTTACAATGATTTTAGGTATTCAGAAGAGTTTAATTTGAATGCAGAATCATCTGGTTTTGAAAGGATAGCTAAATTTCTTAGAAGATTGTTAATTGATGAAACTCTACTTGACTATTTTCATGGTACACTGAATAGTATAATTGTGAAAAAAGCCACATATGGTTATTTATTGAATACATAACATATAAAGCACTGCTCTGATTTGAGATGTAACAAATTAGTACTTTATAATCCTCTTGTCACAACTTAATTTGTTTTTTATTTGTCAATAATATTTCACAAAGTGATTTTTAACCATTTTTTGTTGTTAGTGGTGCACACACAAACATATATATCTATATACACACAATGAAAGACTCCCCGCTGGGCGTCTTCCCTCGGGAGAGACCCCCATGTCCAAAGATCAGTCGAAAGCACGCAGCCGGATGCAAAATGCAAGAGGTTTATTTGGGGTACACAGGCACCTGTGGGCGACAAGGTCTCTCGGAGAACTTTGCGCGCCTGCAGGTTGGGGGTGAGGGGTTTTTGTAGGAGAGCAAAAAGCGAGGTTTACAGAAGCAAGAAGCAGGGTGGTGAATTTTTAACCTAGATAACAATGAGAGGAATATTCAGTCCTTTTATCCTGCCTTCCCCTTCCCGGCTGGCGACCAGGTGTCTGACCGCACAGCCCCGAGCCCTGCTTTCTACGTGACTCAGGCCTCGCAATCTTCTCTTTCTTTGTTTCTATGGCCAGTTCATAAATTCCCTGTTTTGCAGCCAGATAAGGCTGTTCTTGCTCTAACCTCAGGTAGGTATCTTTGCTCAGCGGAGGCCTTTTATGGAGCTTGTTATTTGTTCAGCATTCCAGGAGGTCCTGAGCTAAGCTTGTTATTTGCTCATCCTTTGCAAGAACGGTATGACTGTGGTTAAAGCGAGTTGGGGTCCTTCAACACATATATGTATATATATATATATATATATATAAATTTTGATATGCATTTACACTCTTGTATCCTCTCTTTTCCTGTAGTTTAGGGTAACATATCTTCCAGAAAACATTTACCAAAAAAGGCATGTATACCATAAAAAGGAAATTAATTCTAAATATCTAATTATCAGTCCACTTGTGTGTCCATTGAGGAAAATTTTTATGTAATGTCATTCTGCACATGAATACCCCAAATGATCAAATTTGAAGACTAAAACACATGAATCATTTATCTCTTTGAAGTTTTATGATTGACAGGTGATGCAAAAATTAGAACATGACAGGGAGAACATGAATAGCTCTAATAATATTACTTAAATGTTTCTGAAATGTTTTATTAGAGGTATGTGCTGACCTGTTCAGCCATTAGCTTTAATAAATGAAATATCACCTTATAATTATGATTTCTTCCTGAGACCACAGATAGGTTTTCTTTCCATCAATTAAAAATCTCATATTGTGGTATATGTGCCTTTCCTATGAAGTTATATTTATTTAGATTATATTCTTTTGGATAATTCTAAGTATAACTACAGCTACAGTTTAATTTTTTTCATTGGAAAAAATGATATCTGTCATGTACCTCAGTTGTCTAAAAATGAAACAAAGTAAAAATTCATCAAAAAATTAAATAACCATCAAGTTATCCATGATGATTATTTTTCATACTAACTCTTTATAAATGTATACAGTCAATATTGTCATATTTGTATTTAATTGATTGTTTCTTTGAAACTTCAGAATTTTCTAAGGAATGTCCTCAATCAAAGGTAGTTACTTTTCATTTTATTCTGAATCTTTAATTTCATTTTCTATAATCTGTACAAGAGTCATTAAATTTTTTTCTAAATTAATACAGCCTACCATTGTAAAGCAAGAATCTGTTCCAAAGGAGGCCTGGGATATGAGTCCAGTGATACAGTTATTAGCAGGTGAATTTTGCAATATTAATTTTTATGGACAATTACATTAAAATATTTGAAATATTTACACTTTGCTCATTACTAGTTCTTACTATACAATATTTCATTGAAGAATTTGAAGTAAATAATGCAGTTCTTACTGTTAATTTGAATGTTTAAAGAAAATTATTTACTACCTCAAGGTAATTTGTTTAAGGTAGATAACAAATTATTTATATCTTCTTTTATGTGTCTTTTTATTGTGGTGATATTTTTCTAAAAATATCTCATCTTTCAAAGGTACTGAAATTTTGCCAGCCCCTGAAGTCAAGTTAATAAAGTGCCTTGAGATCCTTTAAGACTATACATTCAATCTACTATCCTAACATGTACTCAGCCTGTTTAACTTGCCAAGAAATGTTGGAAGCAGCATGTGAATAGAGATCAATAACATCTGTGTATGGTTTCAAGTGCTTTTCAGGATCAATTGAGGCTAGCAAAGTAACTTCTCTTATAAAATTCTATTAGATATTTCTATAAAGAAGCCTTCCTCATTCCTTTATCATACTGTGTTTCTTGTGCTCTTCAGTAAATACAGAGCAAAGCCCTTTGTTTGATACAACCACAACAAAGAGGCAACAGGGATATGGGTCAGATATGAACAATAGTCAGACACGTCAGGCAATGTCTTAGTTAGGGTTTCTAATGTTATGAAGAGACACCATCATGATGGCAACTCTTAAAAAGGAAAACACTTAACTGGGGCAGGCTAACAGTTCAGAGGTTTAGTCCATTATCATCATGGTGGGAAACATATAAGCATGTAGTCAGACATAGTGCTAGAGAAGGAGCCAAGAGATCTACATTCTGATCTGCAGGCAGTGAGGAGAGACTCTGTGTCATAATTACAGTTACAATATTTATATCTATTTCATCTTTTATTATAACTAAGGAAAACTGTAACTATCACTATAAATTCTTCAACTCCATCAGACTCCAGAACGATATACTACTACTTAAGTAAACAGGAAGTATATTGTAAGCAACTTTCAAAACTCTAGAATTGACATCTTGGTACCTGGACAGTCACCCAAAGTTCTTTTGTACTGTTGGGACATCCACTGTCAGCCTACAGGCCATAGTATCCAGCAGACTTTTCCATGAAGCAGGAAATTTCAAAGACAGTTCCACTTATATTGGCAGTTTCCAGTCACTTTCTTCTGTGTCCTGCAGAATGTCTAGCAAACTCTTTCATGAAGCAGGAACCCCAAAGGATCATCTCACCTTTAGACAAGTTCCGCAGTCATTTTTCTGTGGGACCTGCATGTCCAGTTCATCAAGCAGTTCAGGCAAGAGCAGTTTCTTGCTCAAATGGCTAACAAACTCCATGAGGAGACTCTTCAATGCCCATTATCTTCTTGAACTAGATTGGTGCTGCCAGGAGCAGATATGTCTCACTGTCATGAAAAGTCCTAAAATCTTAAAACATTTTAAATGCCATATTTTGTAGTCTTTTAAAGGTTTGAAGAATGCCAATCCATCTGAAATACATCTCTGTACATGTAGAAAACCTAACTAACATGACTACAAGCTTGACTATTATAGAAAACTATCTATTAACTTGTATTTCTTAATTATACATTACATTTTAAATGAGCTGGACAAACACAATATCTTAATCAAGATCAGAAATACATATAATAAAAGTGATCTTAAATTTGTATCAATATACCAAGATCCATACCAATGGAAATCTCTATAGCATATCCCACTTTAAATGTAAACAAACATTTAGAAACAATATTTGGGAATATGGGTGTAGTTCTCTCCAAACTTCTTCCTGCTGTTTGTTGGGCAAAGTAATTTTTGGGGGTGTTCAAGGCAAAATTTCAGGGGCTCTTGGTCCATCAAGCAATTCACAGGTTCTCATTTTCTGTGGAAACAAAAGAAGAACCTCCTTTCCAAAGCAACTTATCCTTAGACCCAAATTCTGAAGTCAAGATAACTTTAAAGTATATATGTTGCTTACTTAGCTCCTGCACAGTCAAAAAGTTCAAAGAAAACACAATAATATGCATTATCCGTCTTTATGTGGATTCTTTTTACTCTATTACTTTTTAAAATTATCTTTATTCCTTTAATCTATGACTTTCTGTATTCTGTCTCTTTAAAGACTTTTCCTTTTTTGTTTTAAAAAATCCATTTACTTCTTTTTGTTCTCTCTCCCAATCCTACATACATTTACGCAACACTGTGACCCATTTAGAGGTCTTTTTATCTGAATATATCTTTATTGTGTATCTGCAATTATTTTCTGACAAGAAGCACTTATTTAAAATGCTAAGCGCTTCTTAAAATTTAAGCTGCAGAATCGCTAGGGTATATATGGTCCTGCCTGCTTGCTCCACACAGTCCAAATGGTGGAAGTCTGTTCACCACCTCTGCAAGCTGTGTACATTGCTCCATTTTCAGGCACACAGAAGGTCTATGTCGTCATTAAGCAAATTGTTATACTCTGCTTACAAACCCCATTTAAATGCTTGGTCTCTTGAAAAAGCCAGAGCTCATGCTGGCAAGCACGGCCCAGAAAACCAGCATTTCAAAATGGTGCAGGTTACCATTTAATCAATAAAACCTCTCTTAAACGAGCTGTGGCAAGCCACCAGCTGAAAAAAAAATGTGACTAAACTTTGTTTTTTTTGTGTGTCTAGAGTTCCTTCCCAAACTCTTTTAGGTTTTTAGTGGATTTTAGTTGTCCTCGTGGGTGCCAATTTGCTGTAGGGAGGCTATTTATTGGTGCCCAGCTGCTCAGCTCTGAAATAATCACACAGAAATTGTATTAATTAAATCATTGCTTGGTCTATTAGCTCTGGCTTCTTATTGACTAACTCTTGCATCTTAATTTAACCCATCTCCACTTCGAGGCCTAGCTCCAGACACCAGCCCAGTATGATGCAGACTTTAATCTTATATCAGACACACAAGCAACAGAACAAGTCGACATGCCAAGATCACAGTGAAAAACAAACAAGATGAAAGATCTTTCCTCCACCTCTTCTGAAATATTGCCTTAAATGAGGGAGACTTTTTCTCAATTTATCCACTCTGAGTAAGATCAACAACTCAGATGCAATCAGCTTTGCATTTTGATTGGCTATGGTTTTCTGTAGTGGTCTCCATCTTTTGCAAGAAGTTTCCTCAATGAGGGGTGAAGACTACACTTATACTTTGTGAGTGGTTGTCAATTGAGGATAACTTCTTCATTAGGGATGGGAAGCTGATGTTCCTTTCCCCCTCTCAGTGCTGGAACACCACCTGGCTGAGACCTTGTGCATGTTGCCAGTCTCTGTGAGCTTATCTGTTAGCCCTATTGTATCTGGAAGACATTGTTTCCTTGTTGCTATCCTATCCCCTCTGAATCTCACAACTTTCTGTCTCCTCATCCACATAGTTACCTGAACCTTGAGGGCAGAGGTTTGATGAAGATTATCCATTTGGAATTGAGTGCTCTAAGGTTTCTCACTCCTTACACATTGTTCAGCTGTAGGTCTCTGTATTTCTTATCTACTGCAGGAGGAAACTTCACCAATGTTGGTTGGACAAGACACTGGTCTATGGGTGTAGTAAATGTCAGGAATCATTTTATTGCTATGTTTCTTTAGCAGAACAGTAGTACTTGGTTTTCCCTTCAGTCCATGACCTATCAAGTCTTAGGTTCTTGGTCACTTGAGCAGTGTTGCATGTGGTTTCCATCTTATGCAGTGGGCTAAATAAATTCAGATAGTTGTTGGTTATCACCACAATGCTTGTGCCACTATGGACCAGTGTTATATTACTTTGGATTGTGCTCTTCTTTTCAGAAAATTCTAATTTATTTTCAGGTCCTGTGTTATTTTTTCCAATTGTTATCTTTTTTGGCTTGTATAAACACAATAAACCACGTAAAAACTTTAGCATTAAAGTACTCATTCTCATCCATGAGGGTTATTCTCTATTTAATTCTTCATGAATGTACATGGTCAATATCAGGTTTGCATGGAATTCATTATTCTTCTCTTTGACATTTTTAGACACCCCTAAAGACTATCCTCTATCAAAGGTATTTTCTCTCTTATTTTTTCCTGAAAATTTGACCTCATCTTGTATGAAAAGCGCAAGAGTTACTAGGTATCTTATTTCCTAATCTCATACAGACTACAGTTGAAGAAAATGATTCTGTTCCAAATGAAGTCTGTGACGCAAAGCATGGGAAATGGTTTCTAGTAGGTGAGTTAATAATATTAAAATTTATGAGCTAACAAATATAAATGTTTTAAATGTTTAAAATTTCCAAAATTTTACTTCTGTGTTCTCTAAATTTTATATAAGAATTTGATATAAATAATGCAATATAATTTCTAGTGTTGAATATTTCAAAATTATTTAAGATCCCAAAGTAATTTGTCTGCTGCTCCCTAGAGGAAGAGCTACAGGCAATCAATGACTATTGAGAGATGGTGAATCGGTTTCCCTGATGTGTTACTCAATCCCAAATTATCATTTCTAAACACATCTACATATAAATAATACTAAATGGACACAGTAGGTTGCATATATGCTTGCAGATGAGTGTGTGTGTATGTGTATAACAATAATTAAAGAATTTTTGAATTTGAGAGGGGGTAGGTAGAGACACATAAGAAGTTGAAGCAGGAGAAGAAAGGGTGGATATGATTTATGAGTTCTCAAAAATTAAAAATCTATGAATTCTCAAAAAATTAAAAACTTGCAAAGTAAGGAAAATCCAACATGCTATACTAAATTTAGTCAATATATGTGTGTGTGTTTATAAAAATAACAGTTTTTATGTGCTATAATTCTACAAGTAAATAACCAGGGTGATAAATTCAGAACCATTCTTGAATAAGAAGTGAACTTATTATAACTTTATTATATATATAATATATAACTTTGTTATATTATAATAAAGTTAATAATATAGCTTTATTATAAAGTGTACTTATAAAGGACAGTAAAGCTGTCACAAACAGGTAAAGTAAAGGACATGGTAAGCTCTCACAAACACTTGGATAAATGACTGGGAAGTACTCATTGCTGAAGATAGTCTGTCCCATGCTATAATCAGTTTTGGCTGTTGGAATATCATCTTAATTTCCTGATTTCATCCTAAAAGTGCTGATACCTTTTACTCTCCAGCCATTAGAAGTGCCACTTTAATGAATGCACATAAGTTTTTTTTTTTTCTGAGCCAGGGTTTCTCTGTTACTTTGAAGCCTGTCCTGGAATTAGCTCTTGTAGACCAGGCTGGCCTCGAACTCATAAAGATCTGCCTGCCTCTGTCTCCCAAGTGCTGGGATTGAAGGCATGCACCACCACCACCCAACTCACATAACTTTTATTAGAAATGTTCACTGGGTTCACTATCTAATTTGAAAATTGGCATTTGATTAAAATTATGCAATTTATTCATTTTCCAGTAAATTTCTATTATGTGTCTTTCCTTCAATTGAAAAACAAAACTAAAAATTTCCCACATCCCCAAAGTGAACATAATCACTGTAAAAGCTAACCACAACAAATGTTTTTGATAGATAGCAGTTCTTCTTGAAAGTATGGTAAACTTTGTCATGCTTACATATAACTATCTATGTCTTTTTTTAAAGAATCTCCTGACGAATATATTCAAGTGAAGGTAGTAAGTTTATACCTTATCCTGAGTTATTAAAATTGTATTATCCAAACACACACACACACACACACACACACACACACGTAGTTAAATATCTTCTTTGACAATCTCTACAGTTTCCCATTGAAGGAAGAGATTCTTATGAAGCACCAGCAACACAGCAAGTAAACTCATACTGCTCAGGTAAATTCCACACTACTTATTTATGTAGGAAAAGTACTTCAAAACTGCAAAATCTATACAATCTTCTTGATTTTGACTTCTCTGCTCTCCAAATTTGATGGGAGGACTTTCCTTAAAAGATTAACTTTTCATTGTTAAGTCCCATTGTTTACACAAGTCATTTAGTTGCTCAAAATAATATTTTCAGAGTTTTAATTCTAACACAGTATTTTCTCTTTTGTGTCTTGATATATTAACATTATCATTTTTTTGCAGAATAGTTATGCTAGGTATAACAGTCCAATAATTATTTTTTTGCATAGTTTAAAAACATAGAACTGTTGTCTCTAATGGTTTATATTTGTCAAGTTAACTACATGGAAAATTGAACAAATCTTTCTTTGGCAAGCATACTTTTGGTGTATGAGTGAAGTTACAAGTTATTGCTCATTACAAATTCAAATTATGCTTTCTTTTAGTTTGATACCCTGCTTATTTGTCTTGTTCGAACAGTTTTTATTTTCATTTATTTATTCTCTACATCAGTGCCCTTAACTGTGGCAGCAGGATGTGATGCAGGAACTAATGTAAACAGCATGATGAAATATCTTTGCCAGCTTTTGCCTATATGTAGAATTAAAGTTCTATGTTAGAGAAAATAGCTGAATGTCTTCTATAATAGTCATTAGAAACTCTGTTCATGTTATTCATATTATTGAATCATTGATTCAGCATTTATTATACAAATTTGATTTTATATGGACCCTAAGGTCTCACATATTCTATTCTTGTACCATATCTGTAAGCTCAATGACGTTTTGGTGTATTCTTTTTTCAGATGAGCCTAATATCTATAAGCTGCACATTCCTAATGAATTCCAAGGAGATTATTAGATGTGCAAGACCAAATGTTAATAGTCTTATTTAATTTATTTTGCATATCATTTGGTACCAATATGCAGAGTCTTTCATACACAAATTTGTGTTTATCCTTGTACTCATTCAAAAACTTAATTTTCTTTGCTATTTGATTATGATTTTATGCATTCAGCAAATCTCCAAATAAACATTGCATCAATTTGCACCTTTCTACCTACTAAGTTAAATCCCTCCATTTCTTACTCATGCCACTAATATTGTTGATTTTGTTTGTACATTAACAGTTTTTAACATTGATTCTGTCCCCGACATATGGCTCTTTCAAACTTTCCATCCCCTTCTGTAATGTTCCCTAAGCCTTAGGTATGGGGTTGCTTTTTCGATGTGCCCATTGGGATGGGTTTTCTAACTATATAGCTTTTGTCATTTTTGTCTAACTATATAGTTTTTAAACTAATTATTTTACAACAGAGCCAACTATAAAAGTTTCTGGAGAAGAATGGTGTGGTGACAGAAATTTTCAAAGACAGGTACATGCATATTAAAATTAAAACCTTTAAAGATCATCATTTTCATTGGTAAACAATGTGCCAGGAGCCACATGAAAGTGCCATTTCCTTGCCCTGGAGAGCCGAAGGATCATTGAATTTTCAATTTTAACACCATTCCAGGGTATTTAAGCAGACTGGTATAAGGTAAGTTAAAGTATGTTTATAGATTCTTAATATGTATTCCATTACTTTTGGTATTTAAAAAGTCATGCCAGGTTTGAGACTTATGATTAAATGACAGAATTTTTGAGCAGTATCAGAGTGCTAACCCCAGGATTTGATTCATTCTAAAGAGCTACCTTTTCTAGTGACTCAAAATTTGATGTTGCCTATTACCAATCAGTACTACCAAAGACTAAGCTTGAATTATTTATTTTGATGACTAGTGTTTTTACTTGTCTTTGCCATGAAAGAGAATAGACGTGTATAGTTAATCCCATTATCCATAAAGAGTGATTTTTTTCCAGAATGGAGACTTTGGTGTTCTGTAAACAAATCAAAAAAGTTTTTAATAAAGAAATTCATTAAATATAGTACTGCAGTGGACTAACTTTACCCAGCATTACAACATATAATGATTGTAGTTATCCCTGAATATTTGCATAAATGCATGCCACTATATGGATTTATAATTTGTAAGGATTTTATTAGAATATGCTGTTGAAATGTAGCAGGTGGTGCTTTGCTCCCAGCAGACATTTTATGATGAATAATGTCCAGTTACTGAATATCAAGCACTAAACTGTTGAATATGAACATAGCAAATGAGGTTTATATGAGCACAAGTGTCTAAATAATTAGTGAATGTTGTATGTGAAATTCCTCACTGAGAAGCAGTTGGTATGAAGAGGGAGAATAATAATGAGGACTGTATTCAGTGTATAGAGAAGAGTGAGGGCTGAAATGCTTGCTCAGAAATGATCTGTATGACTGTGAGGATTAAGTTGCCATCTAAAGAAACAGAAACAAGAGCCATGACAAATTCTATCAAGGGGACAAGGGAGCCAAGAAAGCAGTGGTCCACATCTATATATTATATTGGAACTTCCTGGTTTGCCCGAAGCAAGATAGAATATTACCTTCATGATTGTTCTTTAAATGCTCAGATCATACAGACAACACAGAGTATAAATACGCAACCTGCATCTTATCCATGCTGAGTGAAAGCATGTTTCTCTTTCTCTTTATTATCTGAAGGATTGTTGTAGTTCTGTACTTTGGTTTTGCTTGTAAAAACCTATAGGTGATAGCTAATGTTTAAATATTTTTATTTGATCATAACAAAATAACTTTCTAACTAGTAAAAATGTGCCCAAGCATTTACTAATTTAATAAAAAATGGAGTAACCACCACAAAGTTTTGTTTGAATCATCTCTGTATTTTTTCTTTCGATATTAAAAATATTGATGCCATTGGAACTGTTCATAAGTAATGATATTATATGACTGGTACATGTGTCATAATTTGATAATATATGAATTTGAAAACCTTTGTAATTTATGAGGAACGAAAATTACTGATATTCTGAAATTAATTCCTTTTTTAATCATGAACGTTGGCTTCTCTAATATCTATGCAAGTGTCTCCTCTGAAATTATATTGTCAATTTTATAATCAGAGACCCAATAAGATTAACGATTCTCAGAAAATATGTATGAGACTCTATTATAATTTAGTTTTTCAGTTATGCTTCTTGTACTTTCAATTTAATTACATTTGAAATAGGAAACTGAGATAAATTCTGAGAATGTGATAATTAAATCGGTGCAACTCATTACTGATACTAATTTTAACATTATACTTTTAACAACTTTGTCCAAAGGGCATTGACGATTTATCTTTGACTGAAGATGAAAGGTCCAAAAGCACAAGACTTGATGAGGAGCAAGGTAAGAATTCTATTTACAAATATTACATGACAACACGTTTGTTTACAAGGAATATTGAGCTTCAGTGAAAGAAAATTGCTTCAGGGTATTTTAAGTGGCAATAATTAGATCTTAGTTTTTCAAAGCAGGTTAAATTGAGAATATTACTGAGAAAGTGAAATGATGATTTAAATTATGAGGTATTTTCCTCTAAGGATTTTGGGGGAACAAGAAGGAATGGTGAAGACTGAGAAAGACAGTGAAGGGCTGGAGAACCCATGTGGAGTCAGTCACACTTGAGAGCAGTCAGCTTATTTCACGTGAGATTCACATGCTATCCGCTAAATTCAAGTAGAGAATATTTTCCTGCATAGATTATTGGAAGAAGAGTGATGGGGGAGAACCATGGTGAGTGGCTGGCACTCAGTTCTCCGTTGACCACGGAGAACATGGAGGTAGCCAAGGCCCTGGTTACGTTAATTTCCCATCTAAAGCGAAAGAAGCAGCCAATTCGTAGAAGCGCAGGTTGTTTGATATAATCCAGTGATAACCATTCACTGGGATAGTAGGACTGTGTTTTGTGTAAACATGGCTTACATTTCACATGGAACACTTTAGTAATCTCCTGTTCTTCTGTAAAACTCAGGCGTCTTTAAACTTTGGCAGTCAGTCAGCACTAACAACTTCTTATTCCTACCACGTGGCTTAGGTTCACACACTATTTCCAAAGTGCTCACTGAAAAATGTTTCAGATGTGAAAACTAGGGGCAACCAAGAAACACGGCCCAAAAATATAGTTCATATACTTGCAAAAATGAGCAATTGTATGTGCTATCATGTTTTCAGGAGCACAGATTCTCCTTTCTCTAAATATTGAGTCTTTGAGCTTCCAAAGTTTATCATACATGGAGGTCATGGCAAACTCTCATTCAATACTGGCATGAATGACACTGGTCTTGCTAAAGAGCCGTTCTACTTCTTCCTACAGTCAGTGCTTAAAAATAATTTTGGGTCACAAATTCATCCCATAATCACAGTTTCATTTTGTTTTCCAACAATTAGGAATGCCATACTGATGTAGGTTGTTTTCCATCAATTGGAAGAGAAAAACAAAAGGGGTGTCCCAAAACTAAAATTAGTAATATTTTGAAAGCTAGCAACCTGGAATATTTTTGATAGTAATTCTATATGGAAGATATACTTAACTTTATCATGTTCACAAATAATTAATATGTCTCTGACTCTCTAGACTCTCTTGAAGAATATACTCAATTGAAGGTAATGTTTTAGATTTTTATCTTGCATCATTTAATCTGTACTATTTATAACATGCAAATGTTACTTTTAAAGAGGTGTATTATTTTTGTCTATCCACTTGAGGTTATGTGTATATGTGTGTGGTTGTATATTTGCCTGTGCCATAAAACGGCACTGGGTGAGTTTACATGTGTTTTGTGGATGCTTGGCTTGTTACTTGGGTATCGGATTTTCAACTCTGGTGTTAAGTGTTTGAACAGCAAATTCTCTTAACCACTGAGCTGTTTATACAGTCCCACAACGGCTATTACATGTCTTGTTTTAAAGCCTGTACAGAAGAAAAAAACTCCTCTACCATGTGAAGCACCAGCAAGGAAAGAAATAAAAGCATTTGGCTCAGGTACAGTCTTCCATCTGTCTGGGAAAATGCTTCAAAACATAGAATGCGCATGGTCTTTGAAGTTTCATTCCCCTGCTCCTCAACTTTCATGTGAGGATTTGGTACAAATGAAGTGTCACTGTTGTCATTATCTTTCCAAAAAGTTATTCAGTAACTAAACATACTCTCTTCATATTTCTGACTATAACTTAGTATCCCAAACCTTCCATTTCTGAATCAGCACGCTTCCTACAGAATACCTACACGCATGTGCAAAAGTCAATGGATTTTGCATAGTTTAAAAACACTTAGATGAATATTGTTTGTAGAGGTACCTGCTTAATAACGGTGTAGAGACTAGAGTTTTCTTGATATGTATGAGGTATTCTGAGCTATCTGACTAGCTCACTAAGTACACTTATGTACACTAAGAATTCAAAGTATTTTTATTAATTGTGCTTAGATACATAGTCTTTTGGTGATTTTAATCCAATTTGATTTCTTCTTTATGGAAAAATTTATTTGATCAAGATGCAGAAAAGATTAGGCTACTACATATGGTACAGTTGAAAGAATCTAAATAAGAATGGGTTCTATTCAGTTGCACAGTTTGCTAGTTTCCCCTGGATAATGTGATGATTGGTAGGTAGGAGTGAGGGCCGTGGGTTTAGATGAGATAGAAGCAAGATGGCTTTCAGTCAGGTCAGGACTGTAAACTTGTGTTGGCCTCCACACTGCTGGGGAAAGATAGAATTACCCAGTCTAAGATTTTAACTGAGAAATAAAAAGTACAACAAAGCTCCCAAATATGCAACTTTTGGCTACAGATACAGAAATATGAATCTATTTAAATAGGGGTTTCCTCTTCTTTTATTAGGATGATTCGAGAAAGATTTAAATTTTGGCTAAATAAAGCTTCCATTTTCTCTTCACTGAACAATAGAGATAAAGTCAGGGCAATTTCTTTTTGTGTTCCTATTTTGCAGTCAGAGAAACATTTTGTTTCCCAGTACGTGTTAATAGGAAGAACGATTTGCTCCGTGTATTGGCCAGCAGTACTTTATTAGCTGCTTTTGAGACAGGGTTGCACTGGGTAGCTCTGGCTGTATTGGAATTTGCTATGTACATTTGAAGTTTAAGTGTACATTGCTATGCATATAAATTATACCATACTATACTTTCTAGTTTTTACTTTAACCTGTGGTATTAATATTCTTTAGTATAGAAAATATCCAGAGACCTACAAGAATTGTTACTATCAGTTTTAATTCCAAATCCTTATCCTTATAACACTGACACATCTATTTTCTTCATTTGTTTATTTTAATTGGTTTAGGGAATGAATCTAAATCCACACATATGCCACTCATATAACATATTAGTAAGGTTTAATTCTTTGTATTGTTTGTTTGTTTCTTTCTTTATTTTGGTTTTTCCAGACAGGGTTTCCATATTGTTTATTGACAAACATGGTTGTTTTGGTTAATCAGTTTATCAACTTGTACAAGCTGGATTCATTGGGGGAATAGTAAACTTTGGTTGAGAAAGTGCTTCTATCAGGTTGGCCTGTTGGCAAGTCTGTGGAAACATTCTCTTAATTAATGACTGCATTGGGGCCACCCTTGGGCAGGCAGTCCTGTGCTATATAAGAAAGCAAGCTGAGCAGACTAGTAAGCTGCCTTCCTCTGTGGTCTCTTTGCTTCAATTCCTGCTCCCAGGTCCTGCTGTGAGCTCCTGCTTTGGTGATAGAGGAGAACGCATGAGCTGAAACAGATCCCTCCTCCATAGCTTGTTCAATCGTAGTATTGGAAGGTAAAGTAGGACTTTTAGAGAGGAGTGTCCAGTGTGATCTCATTCGGCTTTCTTATGTCTCAGTTTTGCTACTTATTGGTGTTTCCATTTTCTTTAGTAGAATAATTTGTGCAAGCGTGTTTGAGCTCTGGACAGGCCTTGTTCATGGAGCTGATTTATTGTGGAAGTGACATATTGGAGCTTCTGATAGTTGATCCATTTCCTAAGTGAGTGTAGGACCAAGAACATAGCAAACAATAACAGCAGCAGCAACAAATGACAGCAATCAATAGACACCTTCCAAAGTAACTTCAAATAGTTAATGGATTCAGTTTCCCTTTCAAAAGACACAGGTTAACTGAATTAACAGAATCCGTCTTTCTGCTGTCTCCAACAAACTCATCTTACCGTCAAATGTACATGATACCTTAAAGTGAACAGGTGAAGATTTAGTGTTTTCCCCTTCCCTCAACTCCACAGATCCTCACCACCTCTCTACCTACCCAACTTTGTTCTCTCTTTTTCATATAAAAAACATTAAAAGAAAATCAAAATAAACAAATGAAGAAAATCAACAAGACAAAAAATCCTTCGAGATAAAAGTAAACCAAATAAGAACACACACCAAAAAATTATGGAGTTCATTTTGTGCTGACTCCTGGGCATGGGACTTTCCCTAGAGTGTGGTTGCCACTCTGGTGTCATGCCATTTGAATGACCGATTTCTCCTTTGTCAGAAGGTAGCAATTGCAAATAGCTTCTTGGTTAGGGGTGGGAATTTGTGTCCACTTTGTCTTTGTAGTTTTGGGATTTTGTCTGGTTTGAATCCGTGCAGGTCTATGGATGCTGTCAAAATCTCCATGAGCTCACCTGTGTTTCAGTCCTGCTGGACCTGGAAGATGCTTTCTCTTTGGAATCACCCATCTGCTCCAGCCTTATACTTTATCTACATCTGCTTGTGCTTAGATTCCTGAGTCCTGAGGGGTGGGGTTTGATAAAGACATCCCATTTAGGGCTGAGGGCTCCAACGTCTTTCACTCACTGTGCATTGTGTAGTTGTGGTTTTCTAGGTCAGTTCTCACCCACTACAAAAAGAAGCATTTCTAATGAGGGTTCAGTGAAGCACTGTTCTATGGTGATCTCATCATGTCATTTGAAATCATCTTATTGCATATTCCTTTATTAGAAAAGTACCAGTAGGTTTTCTATTAGACCCATGGCCTTCCAATCTCAGATTTTTGGACTCTTCAGTGAGGGTCCAAGAGTGGGCCTTAAGTTCAATCAGAAAGTGGTAGGTTACTCTCATAATATTTGTGTCTCTATTGCACCTGCATATCATGCAGGCAGGTCACTGTTGCTGCAGGGTTGTAGCTAATATTGTAGGTTGATATTGATAAAATATTTCTCCTCCAGTGATGTGACTAAATCAAAGTTCCTAAATTAGTAACTGAATGCCTATTTTGTATTATCACTAATTATTAGATTTTCTCTATATATTGTCTATCAAATTGTCTTTGTAGCTTATCTTAACTAACTATATGGATTTGTCAGAATCAGATGTACACTCGTTATCCGAGGAAGAACAAGAAAGGCCTGACGACAGTGCAGGGGAACATCTAAAGGTGCATACATGTTTAAATAGATGCTTGTTTTAAGATTTTCACTGACAGATGCTGAATTTGTGAATCATATGTAGTTACTTTTTGACTTCCATTGAGAATCAACAGACTGTGATTTAATATTTAATTTCAAACTATGTAACTAGGCAACACACTAGTTTTAGAATCAATAGTGGCATAAAAGAAACCTTATCCTTGGATTTGTTTGAATTAAAAGATCAGGTTTGGGTGGTTTTCAGTCCTTTAATGTCTTCACATGTTAAAGACAGTCAAATTTGGGTTCCATGAGTCAGAAATTAAAATTGAGCAGTGTGAGAGCTATTTCCCCCGGTTAATTCACGCTAAGGAATTATCTTAGTGACTCAAAATCGTATTACCTACTGTTAAGTATTTCACAACTTAAAGTTTCAGTGCATCATTTAGTTCCCTACTTATTGTCATCATCTCTGTTATCTGAGAGACACGTCATCCCCCTATTACCTCTAAGGAGAATAATAGCTATAGAATGTGACTTTCGGTGTTATCCTCCAAAGAATAAATTTCAATCAGGCAGCAGCTGACTGAATCGATTTCAGTTAGCAAACAGTCACATAAAATATTAATGAATATTCAATAGATAGTTGTAGGCATACGAGAATAACTCGGGTCTCCTGATTTAAATATACATTTTCCAGTGAAGTACATTTCCCTCCTTCTTTTATTCCTTAGTTTTCTTCCTTCTTTCTTTCCATCTTCATTAAATTGTGTTTCCATCCATGACTGTTTTATTTTCAATACAATTAATTTTAAAATAGAACTTGAAAATTGGGTAGGAAATCTTTATGCAACTTAATATTGACCCTAATTTAAAAATATGTTTAAGGACCCTCAACCCATGGGCACTGCACATTTATCCATGGCTGAAGATGAAAGCGGAGTCAATGTCGTAAGTGACCAGGAGAAAGGTAAGAACTCTATGTTATTAAAAATTTCATTCAGGAGGCTCAGGGAGATTTTTCTTAAAAGAATTTGTTACTCAAGCCTGACAAACCAAGACTGATTCCCAAGGACCCATGTACAGAGCCTAATGTGGTGGTGCATATCTGCAGCCAAATGGGAGGGAGGAGTAGGAGAATCAGCCAGTAGTGTCCAGCCAGCTAACCTCGAGCATGCTGTCCAGCTGAAAGAAAAAGAGAGGTCTTGGCTCAATGAGGTGGAAGGCTCAATGAGGAGAGACAACTGGGACCTCTGACCTCCACATGTGCTAACTGAACACACACACACACACACTTGAAAAAAATTTTAAATCTACCTGACAATGCTTAAGACAGAGGGAGTGAGATATTTTCCTACCCACCCCAACATAACCTATTACATATTTAAGTTATATTATTTTTAAATGGAGGGAGGTGGAGAAACACTCAGTTGGTAATGTTCTTCAATTTTAAGTAAGGATATGAGTTTGAACCCCTGGACTCACATAGAAATGCCAAGCCTGGTCACATGTGCTTATAGGAAAGCAGGATCAAGAGACTACCTGGAGCTCCCTCACCAGCCAGTCTACATTAATTGGTGAGCCCCAGGACAGGAGAGACTCTGCCTTAAAAGGAGTGGAGAGTACTCCTGAAGATGATGCTGAAAGTTTCAATTCAATTTCTTATACACTTATAGAAATATGAGCGCCATATCTCTCCAAGTCTGGAAAAACAGGTTAAATCAAGAGTCACACTCTCAATTGGAGATGAGTTACATCATTGAGTGTTTCTCAGTTGATGAATATTAAAAAATGAGAATTAGTAGTGGGGTTGAAATAGAAGTGAAGACATTCAAGAGCATAGGCAGAACATTAAGAAAAATCAGGTAGTTTTGTTTGAGTAGAGACTGCAAAAATAGTTATTTTAGAGGATGGAAGGATATTAGCCGTGTAGGAAGATGTATCTTAGTGGCAAAGATGCATGCGAAGTTCACCTTCAAACATCACTGTCTATGCTCCTTAGAATTACACCATGTAACTTTAAGCTTCACATAAAGGTTTCACAATGCGACTCCTGCTGAACACTATAGTCTCAGCTTTTTCCAGCTACTATTAGGTACCCTGATTCTACTAATTATGACTATCTTTAGACTGACATTTTTGCCATTTAATGCTTCTTTGCTATAGCATTTCATGCCCTGGATATTCCCTCCATCTTTCAGAATTTATTTCCCAGGAGTCAAGTCCAGACTTTCTCCTGAAGGACCATCCATCCCTGACACACTTGCTTATATGTTTTTAATTCTGGTGTCAGATCCCAAAGACTCAGGAAATAATTTTGAAACAAATTGATTACTCACACAATACAACAAGCCAATAAAATTTTGGAAAAAAAAGCACACCAGGATTGTACATTATATTGACTGTTGTATTGGTTGCTAGGGTAGTTGGTTAGTACATGCTAACTTTGTGAAAATTCAGTTTATTTTTATCTGAGAATCCTATTCTATTACTGTAAACTTCTTACGGATTTTATTGCATTTTAGATACTCAGACATTATGAGAAATATTTATTTTAAAATGTAGGGTATTTAAAAAAAAGCACTTTTAATCTCAGCATTGGGAAGCAGAGGTAGGTGGGTCTCTGTGAATTTGAGGCCAGTCTGGTCTACACGGTAAGTTCCAGTAAAGCCAGAGCTACACAAAGGGGGGGGATTTGTATTGTAACCAGAATGGAAAAGGAAATTTAGCCTTCATGATAATCCATATCTACCAGCAAAGGAGAAATATTTATTACATCATTATTTTTAACATTAATATGGAAGTTAATCAAATTGGAAAGCTTTCTTTAACAAAACATTGACTTGTGTATTTCCCTAGATTTTATGACTGTGTTCTCCTTCCTGAATGAATAATGTGGAGAAAACAGATTCTTATTCTGAAAGTTCGACTGGCAATATCTCCAGTGTCACGCATGCTACTGTTCATTTTAACATCTGGGTTAGATAATAACTTTTCATGAAAGAGGTCACCTTTCCCTTCATCAGTTATGACTGAAACATTGGCATCAATACCAGAGTCTTTTCTATTTAGCTGTGTTTATTGAAATTGTAATCTCACTTTAAAAAGTTTCATTTCATTAAAGTTAAAAACCTCATTTTGTACTTGACTTTTAATTTATCTCCTAATAAGAGTATAACAGAGCAGGCAAAGTGAGGATAAATCAAACATTGAACTTAAAAGAAATAGTCCCAATGATACCTCTGGTGATTATTTTTCACACTGATTCTATATGAACTTTTGACTGACTTTGTTATGCTAACATGCAATTAATTGCAAGTGTCTGGTTTTCCAGATCTTCCTTCTGAATATCCTGAATTAAAGGTAAAAATGTTCTCATTTTGTTCTGTATCTTTAACTTCCTATTATATGACGTTTAGGCGAGCCATCAAACATCTTGTTTCAAACCCATGTAGGATGCCATGGAAAAACAAGACTTAGTGTTAATGGAAGACTCAACAATGAAGCAAGAAAAATTACTTACAGAAGGTACATTTATCAATAGCTATTTCCCTGAAACTAGTGCTTATGAATATTCAAAATGTCCAGTCTTTTATTCCCTATAATATACTTCTCTAATTTAATGGAAGGATTAAATATATGAAATGTGAATATCATTTCACCATCATTATCTAAAAATGAGTTATTTGCTGACTAAGACTTGGTTTTCCACATGAAGAGTTACCACTTGGGCACTTCGGTGCTTATGTATCAGCTCAGTTGCAATCCAGTTTTGGAATCCATATATTTCCTAGTGATAAGTTGAGCTTAGTTATTAGACACCAGGATGCACATCTTCTTGAGCATTTCCTCAAAGTCATCTGTGCATTCACATCCAGGTAACCGGGAGGCTGAGGCATGACCAGGAGTGCTGAGTATCCTATGAGTATCATGCATTATTTCACAGAGGTTATGACAGAATGTCCAAAACATGTGAAAACACACGGCCAAATGAATCTTAGCATGCAGAAGGGAGGTGGGCAGGAAGCCCTATCTTCCCCTATGAGAGAGGCGGTGTCCGTGTTCTGGAAAAGTGCAGACCCAGGTATACTGACCATACTCCCGTGGAGTGCCATATACCCAAGAATACATGGGCAGCACAGATTGGACTTGATTTTTTAAAAAAGAACACAAAGCGAGGTGTGTAGGGCTAGATCTGGAAGGAGCTATGGGTGAAGATGATGAGAGCCCAATGTATGAAATTCTCAAAGACAAAGTAAAAAAAAAAAAACTACTCTAGTAAAAATAGATAGTATTTTTTAATAGGTTGTGGAAATAGTCTATAGTTATTATCTATATAATTTGTGTTTTGATTAACGTACTCCTTAAGTCAGTGGCCCTAGTCAACCTTGATATTCAGTTTACAGCAGGAATTTACATATTGCAATGTAATAAAACATTGTCTTACTATTCCTAACTAAAAGAATAAGTTTCACATTTTTAGAACAGTTTCGGTTACATGCAAACACAGTTACTGACAACAGCAAATCCAAATTCACGTACTCATTGAATTGATATCTTTTGGATGGTTTTTCTTCTGATTTGACTGTAATTATAGTTTTTTCAACATAAACTGTTTTGGGGTAAGGCTTCACTTATGTACAATGGGCACGAAGTGAAACCTATTCATCATATAGTTTATTAATAATTTTTTTTACAAGAAACACACATTTATGAGAAATGTTAAATGAAAGTCACCAACACAGGGAGATAGGAGAAAGGGGAAAGTAAGCAGCAATGGTGTCACTTAATTCTCCCCGTGTTTCAAGAGAAAGCAGCTTTAATGTCGAGCTGCCCAGGGGTCCAACTTTATATTTACCCTCTTCCAATTATTTTTTTCTTAAATATTTTTTTCTGAGTTAGTATTGTTAAATGTTTTGAAATCTTTTCTTACATTCAGGATTTCATAAGTTTCCAGTTTTGCATTCTACTTGATAATTTGTCTCTATGTTTTTAATATGCCACTCAAAAATGTTGTCCTTCTCATATCTTAAGTTGATCTGTTTTGGTTTCAAAAGTGAGAAATGACCTTCCCTTCAACTGTTAGTGTTCAAGCATATTAACATTATACAGTAAAAATTTTTAAAAATATTTATTAGTATTATTCAATTGAAAATTTACATACCAATCCCATTCCCACTCTCTCCCCTCCTCCCTCTTACTTCACCTTCTTCTCTGCCCCACTCCCATTCATTCCTCAGCGAGGGTAAGGCTTCCTTCCTATGGAAGTCAACGAAGTCTAGCACATCGCTTTGATACATGACCAAGATCACTATAACTATGTTGAGCAAGGTATCCCTCCAAAGAGAATGGGCTCCAAAAAGCCAATTCAAGCAGTTGGGATAAATCCTGGCCTCACTGCCTGTGGCCCCACAGACTGTCCTAGCCATATAATTGACACCCACACCTAGTTTCATCCTATGCTGGTTATAAAATGGAAAATAGAAAACATCTTCAACAAATGGTGCTGGCATAACTGGATGTCAACCTGTAGAAGAATGCAAATAAATCCATGTCTATCCCCATGCACAAACTCAAGTCCAAATGGATTAAAGACCTTAACCTAAATCATCCATACTGAACCTCATAGACAAGAAAGTGGAAAATATCCTTGAATTCATAGGCACAGGAGACCACTTCCTAGTTATAACACCAATAGCACAAACACTGAGAATGACAGTTAATAAATGGGACCTTCTGGAACTCAGAAACTTTTGCAAGGCAAAGGACACAGTCAATAAGACAAAACAGTAGCCTACAGAATGGAAAAAATCTTCACCAACCCCACATCAGATAGACAACTGATGTCCAAAATATATAAAGAACTCAAGAAACTAGACGTCAAAATACCAAATAATCCAAAGGGGAAAAAAAGGAGTACAGATCTGAACAGAGAATTCTTAACAGAAGAATCACAAATGATACTTAAGGAACTGCTCAATATTTTTAGCCATCAGGAAAATGCAAATAAAAATGACTCTGAGATACCATCTTACACCAGTCAGAATGACCAAGATTAAAACCACCAATGACAGCTTATGTTGGAGAGGATGCGGAATAAGGAGAACACTACTCCATTTCTGGTGGGAGTGCAAATGTGTACAGCCATTCTGGAAATCTGTATGTTGGTTTCTCAGAAAATTGGGACTCAACTTACCTTAAGATCCAGCAATACCACTTTGGGCATATACCCAAAAGATGCTCAAGCATACTACAAGGGCATTTGCTCAACTATGTTCATAGCAGCATCAGTTGTAATAACCAGAACCTGGAAACAACATAGATGCCTCTTAACTGAAGAATGGATAAAGAAAATGGAGTACTACTCAGTGGTTAAAAAAATAATGACATTTTGAAATTTGCATGCAAATGGATGGAACTGGAAAAAAACATCCTGAGTGAGGTAACCCATACCCAGAAAGATGAACATTTTATGTACTCACTCATAAGTGGATATTAGATGCAAAGCAAAGGTTAACAAACCTATAGTCCACAGAGAAGCTAAATAACAAGAAGAACCCTAACAGAAACATACATGGATCCCCTGGGAAGGGTAAATAGACAAGAACTCATGAGAAAATTGGAAACATGGGCGTGGGGAAGAAAGGAGGGCAGAGGAAAGGAGGAGGGGAGAAAGAGAGAGGGGAGGAAGAGAACATGAGAAAACAGGAAGGTCGAGATGGGGGAAGGACAGAGAGGGAGAACAAAGAAAGAAGTATCTTGATTGAGGCAACCATTATGGGACTAGCAAGAAACCTGGCACTAGGGAAATTCTCAGGAATCTCCAAAAAATGTCCCCAGCCAAGATCCTAAGCAATAGTTGAGAAGGTGTCTGAACTGGCTTTGCCCTGCAGTCAGATTTATGACTACATTAATTGTCATCATAGAACCTTCATCCAGCAACTGATGGAAGCAGATGCAGAGATCCATAGCAAAGCACTGACCTGAGCTCCCAAAGTCCAGTCAAAGAGAGGGAGAAATGATAATATAAACAAAGGGATAAGGACCATGATGGAGACACACACTGAAACAGCTGACCTGACTTAGTGGGAGCTCACTGACTCAGAGCTATACAGTAAACCTTAATGACCTATTTCCTTTCAGCCCTCCCTTTCCAGCCTTTCACCATTTCTATGACTTTCTCACGCACTACTAATAAGATGATGTCTTCCTCATTCTTACCTATAATTTTAGACATATCTGCAAGCTGAAACTGGGTGATTCCATTAGAAAGCCTCACATGTTCTCATACCATTCTGGTCACTATACACTTACCCTCTTATTAATAGACAAATTAACAATTCTTGTGTAAGGATGCTGGTGCAATATTTGCTTACCCTTTACATTCCAGGGCCAGAAACCAGTCAAATTCAATGAATAATTTCAGAGAAAAACAAGTAAAATACTAATTTTGCAAACTCTTAAAAAATATCACTTCTATATTGAAAATAAAATATTTAGGCACAAACACTGCAGGAACGAGGGGTAACCGGGATAAAAATATGCCTAGAGGATCTTCAGTGTGTTACTTTTAGCAAGTCGAGAAGAATGATCTCTGTGAGAATATGAGTCACATTGACAATTCTGTTACTGAAGATGTGTTCATTTCTGTTTTTTTGGAATAACAAGTGCATAAGTCTTTGACACATATATAAAGGGACAAATGTTTTGACTCCCATTGTCTATATGCAATATCTATGAAGCTTTGATTATGACATTTATGGTCTGCATCAGAAACCATCTGGTTGAATATCAAGATTAGTTGAAAGTTTTGTTGCAAAATAAAAATCCAACATTTTATTGTTCACTTTTGAAATGTTTATATCTTTGATTTTGTAGCTGGTAGTATTTATTTCACCGCTTTCTTGGATGACTTTTCACATATGTGTTTGTCAGATGCCAAAACTGCACAGCTAAGGTCGGAGGAGGAACAGACAGGATGGTGTGGCAGTGGCAAGAAGCAGTGGAAGGTATTCAGCAATTTGAATTTTCACATTAAGATTCTTCTCACTGGTGAAGGGGGCTGTCCTACACTGCACAGTCCTAAATAGAAATGAGACAATCATCTAATATTTAATTTCAGTACCCTTCTCCCTCTTTAGTGCACAATATATGCTGATTTCAGAATCTATAGTAATCAAGTGCCTGGACCATATCCTTGAGATTATCTTGCATAATCTGTTCATCATTGCCCAAATTACAACTACTTGCAAAGTAAAAACATAAACCAATGGACTTGTAGGCTCAGTCATTGTATGAAGAAATAGAGATGTTACTTAGAAAGTATATAGAAGGATCTATCTATCTATCTATCTATCTATCTATCTATCTATCTATCTATCATCGATATATCTACATATCTCTGTTTATTTTTCAGAACATGCATCTTTTATTTATAGCTATTTGCTTTTAAGAAAAGATATTGTGATATTCTTGGAGAGTAGTTAGGAAATCTCTGTGCAAGTACTTATTGATTCTAATTTTAACAGTCTTTTTTTGAGCAACTTCAACTGAAATGGAATGTTCGAGTGTCTGTAAATCCTAAAATACATGCGAAAAAGGCTGCTGAAGAGAAAGGTAAGAACTCTATAGTTGAGCCAGGCAATGATGGTGCATGCCTTTATTTCCAGCACTCAGGAGGCAGAACAGGCTGATCTCTGTGAGTTCAAGGCCAGCCTGGTCTACAAAGCAAGTTTCAGGACAGGCTCCAAAGCTATAGAGAAACACCGTCTTGAAACTCCCTTCCCCAAAATATATATGACTTTATAGTCATAGCAAGGAATGTCTGTTAAAACATGAAGATGGAGCTGCTCTCTTCACCAAAGACAACTGCCCAGTCAATATTCATGAACTAAAAACTAGACTTTCATGACAGAAATCTGTATATTTAAGCTTCTGACAAAGTTACATCATTGAAAGTGTTCCTGAGAGAGCTGATATATATATGATCAGAAATACTAATGTCTTTAAATACTATGTGAAATGTTGAGAAACAGAATAGTGTTTAAAAAGATTAAAGTAAAAAAAAGTAAAAAAGAGATTAAAGTAGACAAAGTTACAGGGATTAAATGAAAGGAGTCATATATACACCGGTGTGTATAGGGGAGAGTGTGCGAATAGATTCTTTACAAACTGAAGGGTGGCTGTATTAGAAATATAGGGGGAATTATTATAAGGGAGAGAATATAAGAGCCTGAAATTAGAAGACACCATGTATCCTGCCTACCTCATTAATGGGAGGACATTGGGCTGTAGTATTTGGTCTTATTTATCTAGGTTTTCTTTGTCATAGATAAACAGTTACGTCCAGTTAAACATGTAAACACGTTAATGTCTTGTAATGTTACTCCTCCATCAATAATCCCTACCTCTCTTTCTCATGTCTTATACACTCTTATGCTTTTTCTGTCTCTACTTTCAATAACTTAGAGTTTATGAGTCACCTCAGACAATACCTGTGTATGATTATCACTGACATATTACTCTACATTCTCCAAATCCTAGAGCATACACCAGCCTAGTAAAACCCCAAGAAATGATTATTAGTAAAATAAATATGATACTAACTATACAAAATATGATTTAATATTGCCACAAGTAGGACAAGAGTAAAAGAGTTTACAATCCAAAGAAATAATTGTCAAGTTCAATGAAAATTAAATGTTTGAAAAATGGAAAAACTTCTAAGGCAGTTAAAATGAAACCATACATGCTGACCTGGAGAATAAGAACTATTATCCAGGAAGAATTCTGATACTGTGAAGTTTTTTTAAAAAAATTTATTGACCTATACATTTTTCTCTGCTCCCCTTCCTTTTTATCCCCCACTTCTACCCTCTCCCATGGTCCCCATGCTCCCAATTTACTCAGGAGATCTTGGCTTTTTCTAATCCCATGTAGATTAGATCCATGAATGTCTCTCTTAGGGTTCTCATTATTGTCTAGGTTCTCTGGGATTGTGAATTATAGGCTGCTTTTCCTTGCTTTGTGTCTAAAAGTCACTTATGAGTGAGTACATATGATGTTTGCCTTTCTGGGTCTGGGTTCCTTCACTCAGTATGATGCTTTCTAGCTTCATCCATTTGCCTGAAAATTTCAAGATATCATTATTTTTTTTTTTGCTGTGCAGTACTCCATTGTTTAAATGTACCATATTTTCTTTATCCATTCTTCAGTCGAGGGGCATTTAGGTTGTTTCCAGGTTCTGGCTATGGTAAACAATGCTGCTATGAACATAGTTGAACACATGTCCTTGTGGTATGATTGAGCATCCTTTGGGTATATACCCAAAAGTGATATTGCTGGGTCTTGAGGAAGGTCGTTTCCTAATTTTCTGAAAACTTGCCATACTGACATCCAAAGGGGCTGTATCAGTTTGCACTCCCACCAACAATACAGGAGTGAAATTTTATAAGAAGGAAGAGGCTACTCAAAAAGTAGAGCAAAGCATTTCAGACAGGAAGGAGATAAGAAGTGTAAGACGTAATTTAGTTAAGAAAATGTCTAGAAGCTGGGCAGTGGTGGTACATGCCTTTAATCCCAGCACTTGGGAGGCAGAGGCAGGTGAATCTCTGTGAGTTCGAGGCCAGCCTGGTCTACAAGAGCTAGTTCCAAGACAGGTTCCAAAGCTACAGAATAAACCCTTTCTCAAAAAAAAGAAGAAAATAAATGCCTAAGAAATATTCCTATTCCTTTCTCCAGGTAGAGAATAGTGTGCAGGGTGGTGGTAGTGATTCCATGTGCTAACTGTCTCAGGGTTTTTAATTATTGTCAAGAGACACCATGACCACAGCGACTCTTCTAAAGAAAACAGTTTTAGAGGTTCAGTCCATTATCTTCATGACAGGGGACATGGCAGTGTATAGGCAGATATAGTGCTGGAGGAATAGCAGAGACTACTACAGCTTGCAGGCAACAAGAAGTTGACTGATTGTCACACTGAAAGAAACTTGAGCAAATGAGACCTGAAAGCCTCCCCACACAGTGACACACTTCCTCCAACAAGGTCACACCTCATAATAGTACCACTCCCCCTTTGGGGGTTATTTTCTTTCAAAGCACCACACCAACCAATTCTGTTTCCAAAGTCAGGCTAGTTTGGGTCTACTGGAATCACTTGTGCATGTATCTTCTGCATGTGCAGTTAACTGTAACACGGTGCCTCTGCAATATGTGTCTATTTGGAGTATGACTCTCTAGATAATCGTATTCATTTCTCAAGCCAGTAGATACCTAGTTGAATGTTAAGGTGACTCTAACACTTTAATTGTTAACTTGAAAACCCAACTCTTCTTCATTTACTTTTTCAACATTTGTGTCACCAGTTAAGTTGATGATGATGATGGTTGTGATATTGTTTTACTGTCTGATTTTAACTATACTATGTATCTCTCAGGAGTCACAACAGTACAGCTGAGACGGAAGAAAGAACAAACAGGAAGGTTTGGCAGTGACAAGAAGCAGCGGAAGGTACTTAGAAGTTTACGTTTTCCTTTAAGATTCTTCTTATTGGTGAATGTTTAACTAAGTCAGTTACAAGTCACACTGTCCTAGAGAATAATGAAATCATGTCTAATATCTAAGTTTAGAACCTTTTGTCTATGTTGCCATGAATAACATGCATAACATTTTCAGAATCTATAGCTGCTAACTCCTCCTCAGCCTCCAAAGATAATTAGGATTTCTTCCACAACCTTTTCTTATTGCTGGACTTCCATTCCTATAACATCTGACCTACAGAGGAAGACCAGATTTGAACTGGTGATCAAGCAGTTTAAAGTTTGAACAGTGGAGTTATGTTCCTTTTTGAACCCGACTAGTGCTATGATGATCATTCCCAACGACTGGAAATTCCTCTGATTTCCTACTAACCAACAGCATAGTAGCATAGCAGAGGGTAAAAGGTTTATTTTTCTTTGGACTCTTGCTGCCTTTGCTATCTCAGGAGTGTGAGTGGACAGGTATGTACATTGGACTCCACTAGCATTAAATAGAATGCCATGCTCTAGAATAGGCCCTCTAGTGTTATGCTCCATGTAATTACTTTTAAAGTTACCATTAATTCAATGATGGACATCAGCAAATATAATGCAGTATTACAAACTGACTTTGCTTGCTGTTAAATCGAGATGACATTCAGATGTAAGGATGAGACAAGGAATCATGGGAAAGCTGGTGCACACCTATGACTGTAGTGCTTAAGAAGCTGAAACAAGAGGATCATCTCAAAGATTAAAATTAAATTGGTGTGAAGAATGGAGATAGAGCTATAGCCAGCCTGTCACCCTGTCAAACACCCTCTGATACTTAGAAAAGTATGAATGTGTTATATACGACAAAAATATTTAAGAAAAAAAGTATAGTCCTCACACAGAAGATCAAATTGGAGGTCATCAGCAATGTCACAGTAATGAAATGTTTCTTAGGTACCTTGCCCATGACCACAAGCAGAGGGATAGGGGCCAGGGGGCAGCGCAGTTTGGTTATGACTCTGTGGAGGCAGATAATGTGTTCTATACTCTATACCTCTCTGCTTTGGCATAACACTGTACACACTTAGAATGATTTCTTCTGTAGTTATTTAGAGGTGGTTTGGGACATCTCAATATTGTTCTGTCACTACCAAAGCCAGTTCTCTAAATGGTCACCCGTGTGGTGTTTAAACAACTTTGCTAGGCATTAACATGTTCATATGATTTGGCTACATTTGCTCAAAATGCCTATATTATGCAATAAGTTTTTAAAGTTCTTACACATCATTTCTTTTTAATGCTTTATATACTTTTAATAGTTCTCTTTTAATAGGAAACTCTGATATGAAATATCTAATATTTTCAAGCTCTTATTTAATTGTAAGGCAAAGAAGAATTTCCAACTTGACCTGGTCTCTCTGAGAAGCCAGGTTTTTCTTAATTAAAAGTGTATTCAATGTGCTTAGTACTTTAATTCCAAGAGGATCAAGTATAAGAGTGTTCCGTTTATTCTCGACAGCTTACTTTATAAAAACTCACTTCCTTTGACATTTCTTCCTTTGACAGAAAATGTTTCTGTCTATGTAAATGTCAATGTCCCATCCTGTCACAGCAATAGAGGAAGATTTGTTTAAAAGCCAGGTGGTCATGTGATGACCACATGTGTTAGTCAAGTATTCTGAAGAAGCTCACTTCTTATTTAAACACACACAGCTCAGTCTCTTCTGTCTGTGATGGTATCTCCTTTGGATGTCTATGACCAGTTATCATATGAAGGAAATGCCAATGCGATGTAGAGAGCATATGTTAGGATTTCATTACATATGGTTTTCTACAATGCATCCTTTATTTATGTCTAGTTGCTTTTGATATGAAGTCTCGCCGTATCTTGGGAAGGCTTTAGGCAACCTCCATGCAATTCCTTACCGATGTTCGTTTTATCAGCCCATCTTTAAGCGACTTCAGTCCAAGTGGTGTGCTCAAATGTCTATGGATCCTGAAGAAAGCAGAGAAAACTCAGGAGCTGCTGAAGAGAAAGGTGGGAATTCTGTTAATAAAAAGTCATTTGAAACAATGCCTATTAAAACAGGAAGATGGAGACCTTCTTTGCTTATACTTGGAGACTCTAATTATGCTAACTTGGAGGAAATAGTACATGATATTGATCTTTATTTCCTAAGTTTCTAAAGGAGGTTACATTGCAAGTGTTGGCGAGGGAGCTAAAGCAGGATTAAAATCATCAGAGTTTTTGTTAAAAATGATAAATTTGAGGAAATGGAAGAGTGTTTAGGAAGAGAAAATAAAGATTGAAGGAGAAGTGATTAACAAGCAGTAAATAAAGGGAAGCAAGGTCGCGGTCCATAACTGAAAGCATCTTTACAAAATGAAAGCCAGTTGTATTATAAATATAGGAAAAACATAAGACAGAAGCATTAAAGAGTCTAATCTAAGAGACTAAGAGTAGAATCAAATCGCCAGGCCTCCTACACTCCTTACTACTGGTGGGCATTAGGGTGAAAATATCTGGTCTTGTGGAGCTAGGTTTTCTTCACAATAGATAGAAATAAACAGCAATGATCAGTTGTACATGTAGACATTGTTGTTAAGGATAGTGTGGCTCCTTTCATTCAATACTTCTCTGCCTCTCTTACCCTGCCTTCCCCATTCCTCCTTTGCTTCCTTCCTCAACTTCGAGTTTCAGAAGGCTCTATGTATGACCATCACTGACATGTTTGTTTATATCCAATGCATTCCAGAGCATGAACCTAGAAAAAACTCAAGAAACAATTTTTGGTGTATTCTATACTTTGAATGCTTAATTTTCTATTTTCTTATCCTAAGCTCTTTTCTCTGTATTTAGATAATTTGTGGTTTTCAGAGATAGTCTCCTGTTCATTACAAAGGGGAAGCTTCTTAGGTGAGGGGTGAAAGCTGCATTTGCTACTGTGTATAAGGATAAGTATTTAAAATTCATCTGGAAATTATGCTGGGAAAGTGCAGTGGTGGCGGGGGATTTTTCTCTAAGATCCATGACTTCCTAGTCTCCGGCAGCCTACTCTTTCTGTCTGATATTTCCAGACCCATTTTCCTATGAAAAACAAAGTTCTTTCCCTGCCTTAGTCCATTGTTTTACATGCAGCTGCTTTTGTTTCTGCCAAACCCAACAATATATTTATTAAAGATTTCTGTGTTAAATTTCTCCCTCATAACGAGGCACTGAGATGCAGCAAAGCCTATTATAGATGTGCCCCAATGGTAACAGCTTGGACAGAACCTGGTGATTTATCCTTTGATTCTCTGTTGGGAATCTGTGAATCTCAAGTTGTTAGCTCCATTTGTTAGTATGTCAGTGTTGGGAGAACGTGGGTGGGAGAATTTTATGTTCTTATAAACCAGTAAATACATCATGTAAAAAGTACCAAAACAAAACATTTAAATTACAAAATTGGATTGCCTTAGATTTTTTATGCTTTCCCTTTAGTGTGTGTAATGAGTCTCAGAGGGCTGAGTGGGACCATTAAGTTTTACTGATGCCACCATTTTGACTTGTGTCATGTGGTAACATCAACCAAAATTGTGGTGAAGTCACATGACATTTGCCTTGTTTATAATATCATTAGTAAGGTGGCATCTACCTATTTTTCTCTCTCGAGCCTAAATTCCCCCTCCTACTTACTCCCTCTTTCTGGAAGTTCTGCCTATACCTCTTCCACTGCTATTGACCATTCAGCTTTTTAACTAGACTAATCTGGTGACTTAGGCAGGCAAGGCAATTAAACATCTTTACATAATTAAACAAACGCAACACATCTTTACATAGTTAAACAAATATTCTGCAACATAAACAAAAGCAACACATCTTTACATAGTTAAACAAATGCAACATGTCTTTGCATAGTTAAGCAAATATTCTGCAAGAGGGAGGGACAACTAATACTAAAGGACTTTTTAAAAAGTCAAATGGAAACCTTTTGCTGTACACACACACACACACACACACACACACTCACATTTGTAACAATAACAAAGAAAAGGAGGCCAGGAAGTTAAGATGAAGATACTGAGGGGGCCTGGAATGGGCCCAAAGAGAGGGTAAACAGGGGAAAATAATGCAAATATAGTAAATGAATATAAAATAAAAATAATTTAATAAAAAAGAAAAGAGAGTTAGATTTCTTAAGCAATAATTAACACCCCAAAGATAAGATAAAGTAAATATTTAAAAAGAATAATTCTTCTTTGGTAGCTAAGGGGAAAACATACGTGCTGAGCTAAAATCTGTAAGCTGGGCAATAGTGGTACACGCCTTTAACCCCAGCACTTGGGAGGCAGAGGCAGGCAGATCTCTGTGAGTTCAAGGCCAGCTTGATCTACAAAAGCTAGTTACAGGACAACTAGAGCTATTACACAGAGAAACCCAGTCTCAAAAAAAAAAGGAAGAAAAGAAAATACAGAGACATTTGTGTTCTGCCTTGGGTTTAAATAGACTCAAGAAAGATCTGTGCTAAGTCTTCTAAGAAGGGAACCATTTGCCAGAGTAGTAGAGTAAAGCATTTAGGATATGTTGCAAGTGTTAATTTAATGAGGTATAAGAGGTTGTAATAAAGAAAATGTCTGGTTGATTTTTAAAATTGAAAATAGTGTATAGAGTGTTTTTATGGGATTCCGTGTACCTATAAGTTCTGTTCCCAAAGTTGTGCTAGTTTCTGTTTACTGTAACCACTTAAGCATGCATCCTACATGTGTGCTTAATTTCAATATCATGCCTCCTCCTATGTGTCTATTTGTTGTATGAATCTCTAGATAATTACATTTCCCAAGCTGGTGAATATTTAAGTGAATAATTGTTAAATTAAAAATCCAATTCTTTCCCTAACCTAATCACTGTTTTTGAAGAAAATATATCCTTAAGTGTCTAGTAGATATGGGCATTCTGATGTCAAGTTATGCTTAGATATGTCAGAAAAATAAATGGTCCTCTCACCATACCTCTAACTCCTTCTAAAACCTGTAATTGTCCGTGTGTCTCAATAATTAAAATACAAAGGAAAATGAAAAAAAATTCCAATTCTTTGTTATTTCTTTTTTCAACTTTTTTTTTTTTTTAAAAAGCCACTGGTTAAATAGATGACCTTGGTTTTATTTCACTATTTCAATGTCTGACTACACATAATGTATTTTTTAGGAGCCACAACAGTACAACTGAGGCCAGAGGAGGAACAGACAAAATGTAATGGCTGTAATAAGAAGCAGCGGAAGGTATTTAAGACTTGATATTTTTCTTTAAGGTTCTTTCCACCAGTGAACGTTTATCACAGGCTGAAGCAGTTACATTCACACTGTTTTAGAGAACAGTGGGATCATATCTACTAAATAATAGCTACTTTTAAAACATTTTGTCAACTGGATAATGCATGATATTTTCAGAATCTGCAGTAACTAACTCCTCCTCCATCTGACCCTAGGATTTCTTCTACGACCTTTTCTTATTGATATTATAGGAGTTCCAGTCCTATAATATCTTCTCTACAGAGATAGACCAGATTTGAACTGGTGACTAAGCAGTTTAAGATACGAACAGTAGAGGAATAATGCTTCCTGAAACTGATTAATGCTAGGATGATTATTCCCAATGACTGAAATTCTAACTGGAGGATACATGAATATGGGGATCTATGTTGGCACATATTACTTAGAATATCTCTTGACACCAAAGAGACTAAACCTTGCAGACAAGTCAATAATATCCCTTGTGACCATTTATGACCATTATTTAGCCTAGTATCTTACTATGTGCTTAGCTTGTTTAAGCTTAATCCGTCTTTAAGAGAACAATTTAGCCAAGCATGCTCTGCTTTGGATTCCCCATGCAATCAGTTTTATAACCTGAACTAAAGCACACCATCAGTTTTAAGCTATTGGACTATTCCATTCCATTCCCCTGGACAGAATAACATATGTGGATGTGTGTGTTGTGATACTCACTTGCTGAGAGCAACCAAGATGTTGATAGTAACCTTAAACATGAAAAGTTCTGTTATGACAAATACAGAGGAAAGATCCTTGTTAGGGACAGAAACACAGAGACACAGACACAGACCAGACTCACAGAACAGAGAGACATCAGGTAGACCAGTAACAAACTGCACACAGACAGAAGACACCAGGAATGAAGTGGAGAATTGGAGTTTGGTCAAATTAACCAGAAAGGCAATTGCCTCCAATCATTTGTGTTCTTATGGCATATGGACATAAATTGGCCCTCGGTGCGGGGCACGTTTCAGGAGCTTAGTTTATAAAAGGTTTTATGCTTCATCCCTTATTAATTCTTCATATAATTTTTATTATTCTGTCTTAAGATTTAAAACTCTCATGGGATATGTAATTTTCACATGCTCTTATTTAACTGGTAAACTAAGGAAGTTTTCCATATGACTTGGTCTCTCTCTGCAATCAGATATTTTCTTACAAAAGTTTTAGCTAGTATCTTTTGAGTTTTAATTCTATAACAATGATCAGGTTATAGAATTATACCAAATTATATATCTACCAAAGAGCACATGGTAGAAAGGTTTTTTTCTTGTGCATGTCTTGCTTTGAGACAAAAAGCATTTCTGTCCATTCAAATTATCTTAGTGTCTCATCCTGTAATAGCAAGAGGAGAATAAGATTTGCTTTCACATACATTTTCAAAATTCTGGTGATTTGTGATTATTTCAAATACTAGTGCAGCATTCTGAAGTTGACTTTCATATTCAAGGATGTATAGTGTAGACTCGTTTATAATGTCTCCTCTGGACTTCAATGATCAATTATCAAGTGAAAGAAAATATAGATGGATGTGTTTGGAGAGCATATAAACATTTATTTTCATTTTTTTGGTTTTCTGTACATGCAACTTATATATACATATATACATTTGCTTTTTGAGAAAGGAAATGTTGTTTTCTTGGAGCGTGCTTAGGAAATCTGAGCAGCTCCTTACCCATGCTCATTTTACCAGCCCATCTTTGAGCGATTTCAACCCAAGTGGAGCGCTCGAGTGTCTGTGGGTCCTGAAGAAAGCAGAGAAAACACTGGAGCCACAGGAGAGAAAGGTAAAACCCCTGTTAACTGAAGGTCATTGCAGGGAATGACCTGAAATAAAAAGGAAGTTGGAGACAGTCTCTTTACTGAAGAAAGTTGCCCGAGAAATACTTAAGAATCAGAAAGTTCTAGTGACTGCAATGTGTGTGTCCTCGAGCTCCTGAAAGAATTTACATCCAGATGTCGGTGGGGAAACTGATGTAGGATAAAGAGCATCAGGTTTTTATGTAAAAGGAGAATTTTAGGAAACAGAAGATTGAGCAAAGATTAAAATGGGTGAAGTTACAAAAAATAAATACAGGGAAATCATGCCAGTGATTTTAGTGGAGATTCTGGAAATAAATCATTCACAAAACAAAGGGCAATTGTGCAATAAATGTAGAAGAATATAAGATAGAAGCACCGAAATGTCTCAGAAATGAACAGTAGAGCCAGCAGCTGCTTTGTTTCCTTCAATGTGGGTAGAGGAGAGAGATGCAAAGTCTTAAAGAGGTGACTTTTCTGTACAGTAAATGGTGACAGATGGCTGTAGCCAAGCCATACATGTACTCAAGTTATTGTCAAAGACAATGACTTCTTCAGTTCAACACTTTTTTGCCTGTCTTGCTCGTCTCTTTCTCCTGCCTTTCACATCAGCGCACATGTCCACACTGCCCTCACTCTTCAGGAAATCACCTCAGGAAGGACCTATGTATGACAATCACTGAAACATTTGCTTGTGTCCAACACATTCTAAGTCATGAACCAGTAAGAATTTAGTGAATAATTATCGAGCAAAGTAAAAACAACACTACTTACACAAAAGATGACCTAAACGGGTACTGGAGAGATGGCTCAGTGGTAACCAGCACTGGAGCCTCTGATAAGGTACCCAGACTCAATTACCTGTACCCACTAGAGACTCACAGCTCTTTGTCACGCCTATTTCAGGGGATTTGATACTTGATTCTGGGCTCTATAGCGACCAGCCATGTACATGATAACAGATATACATGCAGACAAAACACCCATACATATAAAGTAATCATCATCATCATCATCATCATCATCATCATCATCATAGGTAAGAAAGTGGTCTAAACATCATCACTTTTAGGCAAGAAGCAAAAAGTTAGATATCTAAAGAAATAATTATCAGTTCAAATGGAAAGAGGCATCTGAAGAAGAATGAAACTCTAAGGTAGTTCAGAGAAAAGCACACATTGACCTGGAGAGTGAGAGCCCAGGAAGACTTCCTGTCTGTTGCTGAGTTTTATGAGAAGAAAAAGGTGTGTCAAAGTAGTAGAGACATACATTTGCAATATGAGTGAGAAGGTGTTTGCATAATGAGGTATAAGAAATTGCAAATAAGAAAGTAGAGTTTTGACATATTTTTCTCCCCAGGTAGAAATAGTGTGCAATGTATGATTTCTATGATTTCTATGATTGCACATAATTATCAATTCTGCTTTTATGTGTGTGTTCATTTCTGTTTACTGAGAATATTTGTGTGTATATTTGATATATTGCATAACTGCAACCTGGTGCCTTCTACTGTCTGTCTATTTGTATATAAAATTCTTGACAGTTGTACATATCCCTCTAAGCAAGTAAATAAATATCCAGCTGAACAGTAAATAATTAAATTATTTTATTTTAATTAGAAATTAGAAATGTTTAATTGCTAAATTAAAACACATTTTTTGGCTCAGTGTTAAAGGTTTTTAAATGACTAGTTATATAGATCATTTTTTTCTAACTGTTCACATTGTTAATTTTAACTCTTTGTATGAATTTGTTAGCAGAGTCCCCTAAACTACTTACATCAGAAGAACAAACGGGATGCCCTGACAGCGAGAAGAAGCCACAGTCGGTATGTGAATATAAAAAAATTCTTTTATATTGTTTTCTTTGATAAAAAAAGCGGCCACAATCCAGGTCCAGTTATATTGTAGTGTAGAAAAATCACTAAATGGTAATTTAATATGTAATTTAGTGTCTTGAAAGCTCTTCCCAGTAAACCATCAGCAGTGACTGAGCTCATCCTTATTCTTAGCAGCTTTCCACAGTGTTTCATTCCTTCTTTTTGTCCAATCCCATAACCTCATTTCTTATTTACAGGGTAGATTAAATTTGATTAGCCACTAAAATGTCTAACTTATTAACAAGTATGTGTATTTGTCATCCTTGGACACGATTATTATAAAATCTGTAGTTCCCATTCCATCAAAAATTTGAGATTTCCTATCAGACATTGTTGCCCTCAAATAAACTTTTACTTGGTTGTCTTTAATACATCTTGTGAGACAATGGGGTCATACATAGATCCCCTCAGTGGGATTAGAATGAAGTTTTCCTGAACTAGTCTTCATTGATTTTTTCCAAATAATAATGTGCTATTGGAACACAGCAATTACTGCTTGATTCCTTCATGTGAAAGTTTTGTTGCTATAATTTTGATACATTTCCATTTATTGAGTAGAGGAGATTAGGATATTGTGCTATATAATTCAAGAACAAAAAAGTAGGTGTCAAATTCTGTGATTGTTTCTCACATAAAAATCAGAAATGATGTCATCACATCACATTTGCTGAGATTTCTCTTTAGCCTGGGGATGAGAGTGAGATTTGAAATCTGAATTCAATGAAGGTCATTTGCATGTGGATCTTTTATGTAGCTGAGTATTTGAAAGTGGGTTCTGGGGATTTGAACTCTGCTCCTCATGCTTGCATGGTATGTACTTTTGTCCACTTAGATATCTTTGTTACCTGAAGAGCGTTTTTAACATGACTGTTTTGTTATCAAGTGACAAAGGAAGAGTTCGTGGAGAATTATAGGGGAGGGACATGGGGACAAAGAGAATTCTGGATCACATTTGTTCATTTGTATCTTAGTATCTTGTGTTTTTCTGTATACTCATCATTTTTATTCTTATAAAATATGGGACAACAAAATGTGCCTAATCAGTGACTGTCATGGTTCAGTGATTTAACAAAACTTTAAATACATCCTTTTTAAATTAAAAAAATGTATTATTATTACATTAGTGCACATGGAATGTGTTGGCATTTGTAGGGAGGTCATAAAGCAATTATGTAGAATTCATTCTTTCCTTCCACTTTTGAGTTTCAGAGACTGACCTCAGATGACCAGGTTGTGTGGCATGTGCCTTTACTCACTTGGGCTTCATATTTTCTTTTCACTTGTTTTTAGTTTTAAAAATTAAATTATAGCAACATTTCCTCTACTCACCTTCCCCTCTTCACTCCCTAAAATAACAGCCTAACTCCTTCCTTTCAAACTCATGGCTTTTATTACCCACAGACACACACACACACATATACCACTATTTTGCTACCAACTAAACAAGAAGTAAACATGTAAGAAAGGAACCAGTAGTTCTACCCAGACATATGCCTGTGATCCACAACAATGACCAACATAGCAAGATATCCCTAGGGGTGTAATGGTGGCATATCTTGGCTGCAACCAACAGCTGTCTAACTGGACTCAAGGCCTAATATCTAATTGGATTTAAGGTCTGTTCACCATGAGGGAAATCATGCTTGGTACTGGAAATCTAGGTGACTTCCTAGGGCTACTGATGTCCTGGGCCTTGGAGGAGACATTTCTACTACTGCTTTACTAACCCGGCATTTCTAATAAATCACCCAAAATATTTCAGACTTCAATCCCTAAAGGAGAACTCATACTTAGCATTGTGTAGTAGAATCTCGTTTCATTCCATATTTCTTCTTTCAACACAAAAAGTGTTTCTGTGCTTAGAATCCTAAATATGTAATTCTGGCTTATAACAATTGGAGTACGAGAATGTATTGAAATACATATTTTTGAAAATGCTCAGAGTTTTATGAGGACAGTAGATAAAAATTATAAAATTAATTTGTTATGTAAGTGTGCATATTGATTCTGTTCTGTTTATAAACATATTGCCTCCTGTCGTCAGTGCTCATTTAAAATATGATGGTTTTTTTTACTTGTTCTTTGTGGATTTCATAAATACATACAGTGTATTTTGATCACCCCGCATCTCCCTCTGGCTCCTCTGTATCATGTAACTCTCTCAACTTCATGTGCTACTGTTGATGTTGCTGTCATTTAGTAAAGCTGTGAGTTCAATTATTGCTGCTCATATACGTATGGGTATGGGATCATTTGACTGTTATGGTCAATTTTTGTAGTCAGAAATATGATGAAGGTAAAATTGATTTGGAGAGTATATATGAGGATTTCCTTTGAGTTTTGGTTATTTTTCAATATTTTAAAAGTATTATTGCTATTGAAAGAGTAAACAATGTTTTTGGGGGGAGTTGGAAATAACTAGGAAAAATTTAATTCACAATGATACTAAATTCAACAGCATATCCTAGAGCGATTTCAGCCAAAGTGGAGTGTTCGGGTATGTGTGGACACAGAAGAAGGAGACAACCCAGAAGCCACTGAAACGACGTGTAAGAGCGGTAATTCTAAAATTCTCCTCACAGTTGGCATCTACCTGTGGAATGTGTGTATGATGCCTTGTTTACATTGAGAGAATCGCTAGGAGAACCTCAGTATTACTTCACATATCTAGGTTTTTAAGCGAGGGCTACTTAGGAGAAAAGAGTGAGACTATAGAGAAACAAAGCAAGGAGATTGAGGTCAGAGTACGCAGGGGAGCGCACGGGAACAAGGTGTTAAGGGAAGGAAAGACTGCCTACTGTGGAGGCAGGCAGGGGAGAATGGAAACTGGAAGTATTGCATCGTGTCTGAAAGGCAAACCAAAACACCCCAGGAACTCCTTGTCCTCCTCAATGTGACCATGAAAATGGGACTCCTTTAACTCAGGGCTGTGGACGGGAAGACACCAGCTTCAGTCATTGTCAGGATTGTTAGATTCTTAGTAAAGATGCTAGATAATTCACATTATGTGAAGCCCATGCAATTATGGAAAAGTTAGCTACACACGATTAATTTATTTGTACTTTCTAGTAATTGTTATCCTGATTTCAAATGTAGAAATTTAATGAATTCCAAATTATTTTGAAAAATTGGCTTATATTTTATTGGGACAATTGTGCACTAGAGGCAAAAACGTAGGCTTTATGTTATAGCTTGGTTTATAGACCTTTTACAACATGTTTACTAAAAATTTTCTATTAATTGAAAAAGATAAATGCATTGATAATATTCCCCAAATACATGCAAAAATGGGACATTTTATGCTTTAGTATTCTACAAGTAAACATCCAAGTTAACAAATTTTTGGAAGATAAATAATTTATCCATTCTATTGAACATTTATGACTGATTTTGCTTCCTAAATTACAATAACATGGCAAAACCATAAAATTCCTTAGTATCATGGCCAGTCTCCTTCCAATTAATTTTGAACACCACCTTGGCATCTGTCTTTTCTTCTTAGTAACATTCCTTTTTCCCACTGGTTTCATTTCTGTTTCTGTCCTCATCAGACAGAATAAGCAATGGGAAAACAAACTGAATCCCACTCTTAAGGGAAGTAGTCCCAGTGATAACTATACCGATGATTTTCTACTTTAATTCAGCATGAAATTCTGATTGACTTTGGCATGTCAATATATAGCTAGTTACATGCCTCTCTCTTTTCAGGCTCTTCTGATGAATATACCGAATTGAAGGTAATAATGTTTCCATTTTATTGTGTGTCGTTAGCTCCCCAATATAAGACACACACAAACATTATTAAATATCTCCCTTCCAGTCCATGCAGGCTACCACTGAAAATCAGGATTCTGTAGCAACCAAAGATTCGACAATGAAGCAGGAAATATCATTCACAGCAGGTAAATTTGGAACTAAGAATTTCTCACACGTGTTTATGGGCATTTGACATTATCAGTCTTTGAATCCAAATTCCTTAGCTCTTCAATTTTATGGAAACATTTTATGTAAATAATTCAAATATTTTGACCTTCATTGTTCTATCACAAGTTACTTGTGAGTATAAGACAGAATTTCTATAATTGTCAGCTGTAACTCAAGTGTTTCAACTTTTATGCACTAATATATCCACAATACTATATTGAAAACATAGTATTTCTTAGGTTTTAGTGGAGTTTAACTTTTTTATTTTTTATTAAATTTTTTTTATATATACCAACCACAGTTTCCCCTACTTCCTCTCCCTCCATTCCCTCCTCCTACCTTCTTTCTAGCCCCCCCCCCGTCCACTCCTCAGAAAAGGTAAGGCCTTCCCATGGGAGTCAACAAAGCATAGTATATCAAGCTGATGCAAGGGGAGGAGCTTGGTATTGTCTCAACTTGATATGCCATGCTTTGTCGACTCCTATGAAAGTTTAACTTTTAAAATCCACTCTTTAAAGCAATTAATGGTGTTTCCTCAAACATTAGTTACATGTGTTTACAGTCATCTACTTGGTAGACTGGGGCAAAGATTTCTCATGCATAGGAATTTTGAGTGATCCCGAATTACACACAAAGAAACCATGTTTTAAAAAGATTGGTGTACTTTTTAATTCAGGCTGGAAACACTGTATACTGGGCAAGCTTTATGTAATTTCTATACTACAAACGTCAGTGACTGCCAGTAGCCAATCTAAACTCAGATACTCATACAGTGTATTTATCGTTTTTCCTTTTCCATGCTTGTCTGCTTTTCTTCTGATTTCCTTGTGATTAGAGTTCTCTATTCGCCCGCTTGTTTATCTACCTGTTCCTCCCACCCCCCAGTGCCCTTCTATGCCCTTCTTATTCTCTGACAGTGAACTAAGCTCTGTTCCATGATAATATTGTTTTGGTGAACCTGTTATGTGCAATACGCAGACACCTCTGAGAAATCTTCAAAGTATTTTACCGACATAAGTGCACACACAGAAGAAAACATCAAAGTATATGCAATCAATGTCACTGTCCATGCAGTTTTTTCATATCTCATATGATAATGCTAATACCAGCACCTAGGGAGGACAATTTATGTTTCCACTCTTTCAGTGAAACGTTTTCTGGACTGATCTTTAGTCATTTTATACTCGGGGAGACTATGGAAACATACTCCGTTCAGGACTGTTTTCCTTTTAGATAGTACTTTTTTTTTCATCGACCTGTTCCTCACCAATTTCATCAAGCCTCCTATTATTTTTTCTTTCACATTTATAGTAACACATCTCAATTGAAAAATGAATGGTAACCACTCTAATTTATTTCTAATCATTTTAAGGTTCTACACACAATTTGCATATCCGACTCCTCCTCAGTCTTCCCTTTTAAAAGTCATTCAACTTTACTAATTAATTATACAAATTAGTGAATATCATTTCAGAAGTTTGACATATGTATGCTTTATTTTCATCCCCCACCATCCTCTCTTTTTCCTTTTTTGCCCCTTTCCTTCTCTCTCTTTTTTTGTTGCCTGTCTCCTTTTTTTTGTTTTTTTCTTCATTCAAAAATTTACACTTCCACCCCTCCTCCCATTCCCCTCCCGCTTCCCCACTTTCCCTCCTCCCTTCCCCTCCCTCCCCCTAAGAGTGGGCAGGGAATCCTGCCTGTGGGAAGTCCGAGGCCCTCCCTGCTACATCCAGGACTAGGAAGCTTTGCATCCAAATAGACTGGGTCCCAAAAAGCAGTAGAAACAAGTCCCAGTGCCTTTATCAATGGCTTCTCTGTTAGCCCCCATTGTCAGCCACATTCAGAGAGTTCGGTTTGATCACATGCTCATTCAGTCCCGGTCCAGAAGGATTTGGTGAGCTCCCATTAGAACAGGCACACTGTCTCAGCAGTGGGTGGACCAGCCCCTCGCGATCCAGACTTCCTTGCTCATCATCTCCCTCCTTCTGCTCTTCAACTGGACCTTGGGTACTCAGTCCTTTGCTCTGATGAGGGTTTCTGTCTCTATCTCCATCCCTAGCCGGATAAAGATTCTATGGTGATAATCGAGATAAACATCAGTGTGATAGTGGGGCAAGGCCAGTTCAGGCACCCTCTGCACTGCTGCCCAAGAATCTAGCTGAGGACATTCCCGTGGACACCTGGGATCCCCTCAAGAGTCAAGACTCTTGTCAATCCTAAAATGGCTCCCTTAATGTAAACATCTTCCCTGCTCCTGTATCTGCCCTTCCTTCATCTCCACCCTCCTACTCCCCCAAACTCTCTCCAGTCTTTCCTTTCTCCCTTCTCTCTCCCCCTCCCCCCTTTCCCATCCCCTACCTCCACCCATACTCCCACCCCCATGCTCCCAACTTTTGCCCGGCCATTTCCTTCCAATTTCCAGGAGGATCTATATATGTTTTTCTTTGGGTCCACCTTGTTATTTGGCTTCTCTAGGCTTGCGAATATAGACCTAATGTCCTTTGTTTATGTCTAGAGTCTACTAATGAGTGAGTACATACCATATTCATCTTTTTGGCTCTGGGTTATCTCACTCAGGATAGTGTTTTCTATTTCCATCCATTTGCATGCAAAATTCAAAATGTCATTTTTTTTTTTTTTTTTTTTTTTTTAACCGCTGAGTAGTACTCTAATGTGTATATATTCCATACTTTCGTTATCCATTCTTCCATTGAGGGGCATCTAGGTTGTTTCCAGTTTCTGGCTATGACAAATAATGCTGCTATGAACATAGCTGAACAAATGCTTTTGTAGTATGATAGGGCATCTCTTGGGTAAATTCCCAAGAGTGTTGCTGGATCCTGAGATAGATTGATTCCCAGTTTCCTGAGAAACTGCCACACTGATTTCCACAGTGGCTGCACAGGTTTGCATTCTCACCAACAATGGATGAGTGTTCCCATTACTCCATATCCTCTCCAGCATAGGCTATCATTGGTGTTTTTGATTTTTAGCCATTCTGACAGGTGTAAGATGGTATCTCAAAGTTGTTTTGATTTGCATTTCCCTGATCGCTAAGAAGGCTGAACAAGACCTTAAGTGTCTTTTGGTCATTTGAACTTCGTCTGATGAGAATTCTCTTTTCAGTTCAGTATCCCATTTTTTAAATTGGGTTAATTAGAATTTTCATGTCCAGTTTCTTGAGTTCTTTATATATTTAGGAGATTAGACCTTTGTCTGATGCGGGGTTGGTGAAGATCTTCTCCCATTCAGTAGGCTGTCTTTTTGTCTTAATGACAATGTCCTTTGCTTTACAGAAGCTTCTCAGGTTCAGGAGCTCCCATTTTATTCACTGTATGTATGTATGTGTGTGTGTGTGTGTGTATATATATATATATATATCTTTCAACTATGCTTTTTGTCAACAGAATCAGACTCAGAAACAGCATCAGGGGATGACCAAAACAAATGTTGTAGCAGTGAGAGCAATCAATCATTGGTATGTAGATTTTCAAATCTGAATAACTTCTTCAATACTGTTGTCTCTTTTAAACATTATATCATAAAACAAGTGGACTTATTTTGCAAGCTTCTCTGTATAAAATATATAAAAATTCAGTAGATAATTTTAAGTAATTTAAATATTTATGATTTAAGATATCCTTTGAATCTACAATAACATAGGCAAACTTTATGCTCCTGAGGCCAAAAATTCTGAATCATGATTTTGCCTCCACTTGCAAAACCTTTTTATATGATAAAGGAGGCAAAATCAAATTTGAATCTTTTGATTGAAGAGCTTAAATTATGTTCAAATTGAAGTCAAAGGTGCAAAAATGCAGAGCAGTGAAAACTTTAACTTGGAGAAGCAGAACCATACTCCAAGGAAGCATTATCATCATCACCGGCTGCCACTCTCACCAGTACTTGCAAACGGACAGCTGATTAGCAGCCAGAATGAAGGCTTGACTATTGACCAGAAGAATTTTAGCAAACCAGGAGATAAGGCCTTCACCCAACATAGCCATCCCTTTGACAACACTGAAATCTCTGAGCAAGAAATGAGAAAACTCAAAGGTCTGTCTCCCAGTCCTCTTTAACTCCTCTCTAACCCTGACTTTCTCAGCTCCAGAGGTCTGATAACATTTCTGGCTTCTGCAGTCACCTGTGTACACACACACACACACACACACAAACATAAAAATAAATCTTTAAGAAACTGCTCAACGATATATAATCATATACTTCTGGAATCTTCTTGTCCAGAATTTTTACATTTATTTTTATAACTTATGTCATATATTTCTCTGTTTCTTATTATACTAGCTAGTTCATTTTAATAAAACAAACATGACCAACATTCTTTTCTATGTATTATCCAATCTGCTAACCCATTAAATATTTGGTAGAATTCATCTGGTAAAGCATCTAGCCTGTTTTATTTTTATTTTTGGAGGAAGGACATTAAATATAATAAACACACTTTCTTTATAGAAAAATATGAACTTAAAAAATTAGTATCTTGTAAAAGATGCTTTTAGTGTAAACAGTAAACTTATTTGAACCAAGCATAAGAAAATGGTAATTATTATTAACATTTTATCCACTCTTTAGAAGACAGTAGAATGAATATACTGAATTGGACACAATGCAAATTGTTAGTATAAATGTGTAACACTATGACCAAATATACTGTCTTCGTTAGGGTTTCTATTGCTGTAAAGAGATACCATGACCATGGAAACTCTTAAAAAGTAAAAAAAAAAAAAATAATTGGGGTTGCTTACATTTTCAGAGGTTAAGTCCATTGTCATCAGGGTGCAGCATGGTGACATGCAGGCACACATGGTGCTGGAGAAGGAGCTGAGAGTTCTCATTTTGACCCTCAACCATCAGAAAGTGGTCAGAGATACTGAGAACAACTTGAACATAGCAATAGAGCCCACACCCACAGTGACTTTTTTCAATAAGGTCACACCTTCTATTGATGTCACTCCCTATGAGCCTATGGGAGCCAATTACTTTTGAGCCTCTACATTTAATTTGAATTAACATGTAATTATTTTCTTTTTGTATTGTTTTTGATAGACTTTTGTTGTTGTTGTTTTGAGACAGGGTTTCCCTGTGTAACCTTGGGTGTTCTGGATCTTGCTCTAGGCTGGTCTTGAACTCAGAGATCTGCCTGCCTCTGCCTCCTGAGTGCATGGATTAAAGGCATTGACACCACTGCAGAGCAGTGGTAACTACAACATTTGCCAACACTAGTTACTGTACTTTTTATATGCCAACTTCTGGTAAACTTGTTTTCTTCCTTCCTTCCTTTCTTTCTTTCTTTCTTTCTTTCTTTCTTTCTTTCTTTCTTTCTTTCTTTCTTTCTTTCT